ATGCACGACGATTTTGAGTTATTGAGCAGGCAAACAGTAGACGTATATCCCTGAAATCTAAAAATCGATGTAGGCAGTTTGTAGTAGGTCATATCCACTGAAATGCTGCCTTTAAATAGATCAATAATCGGAACTAAATTTCGACTGCTTTGTCGTAACATGTAAGGACTGAACAACAAATGGTTTAAATACTCGTGGAAGTGAGCTTATAGCGTTATATTCTGATTATATATAGAAAATTTCGAAATTTTTTCCATGCTTCAAAGTAAATAATCAGTTATTTAAAATAAAGACAAAACTTTCCCTACCATTATTTCGCATAGCAATTAAAACTTACTTGTTTCTGCATAAAATCAATCCAAGCTTTTACCAATTCCTTTTGTGAATATTTTTCGTCCTTTTTCATTAAGAAATGTTCAGGATGGCTGCTAGAAAGAATTCTATCAAACTCCCCCTTACAAGACTGCAAAAATTTAATCATATATAAAACAAATTTGTAATTTTTGATGGTTTCCTCTCTTGAATCTCTGGTGACTAAAATTTATCTTAACCGCAGAAATATTTTTCTTTCTTAAATCTGTATCTCCCACCTGGCTATGGAAGTAAATTCACTATGGATCTTTACAACCTGTTATTTAGATTAAACTATTTGACCATTTGATGCCGATTATATAATTGTTGATGATCTTACCAAAAATAGATTGGGAAAACAGTATGTATGAAAAATAGTAGCAAATTTAAAGAGAATTTTCTAAACATTTGCATTTATATAGGTTTAAAGCAACATGTTAAGATCGCCAATAGGCATATCATATTTGATGTTGGCCACTTCTACTTCTCTCGTTGTTAGAATTAGTGTCCTAGAACCTTTCTATCATAGTGACCACAAATCATCCATGCTTCAACGTTACGTTTATGCCTCGAGATTTTCTAAAATTTACCGTTATTTTGATTATAAAATTATTAACTCTATCCGCAGAAATAAACTGAGACTCTTAACTCGTTCTATTGATGGAAAACTTAATTTTCTTAATGGCACCATTTTATACCGGACAGAACAATACATCTTTTTAAAGAAAAAAGTGGACAATTCCCAATTCTCTAAAATCTGTTTAAAAAAAGTGGCTTAACTCAAGAACCTTTATAATAAGTACAAATTAATCAAATTGCCAAATGTCCTCTCTCCTTATAAAGAATGTATAAAGAATGCCTATCAATATTTTTTCAATGTTTTTTCTGACAATAACTTCATAGCACTTTTTTCAATATGAATAGAAATTGCTGCACTTCTCTCTGTGAGGTTAAAATAACGTTATTAAATGCTTATGGCACCTTAAATAGACTCAAGCCGTCCATTTTAGCTGGTTCTGATAATATTTCACAAAAAACATACGAAATAAAGCAAAAAAACAGGAATGGCTTAGGTGATTTTGGATTTCGGTGGCAGAGTTTTGCATGAGTAAACTGGTTTTCCAACCACCCGCCTGCTTCTACCATTCCTAGTCAAATCATTCCTGAGAAAAATATTTTGCTCTCAAGATTTTTAAAATTGTTATGGCATTTACTTAAATAATGCTCTAAAATCTGCCAGAGGTAATGGATTGAAGATAGCTAAGCAATTACTATCATTTTCCAAAATTTTTTCGTCTGAGATAAGTGATATTCCTTGTATCAAAAAAGAGCTATTTTTTGTTCAACGCATTATCTAATGCCACAGTACTCGTTAAATTTCCTATTGTTTATTTTTATAACTATTCTTTCACTCTTATTTGTTGTTGCCAATGCGAACGCCAAATGGCATCCGTTCCTTAGATTGTTAAGAAAGGAATCATTGACCAAATTTTTATGAAAATTCTGATGAGCATTTTTCTATTTATTTCAGATAAAACCTATTAAATTTCTAAATTTTTAATTTTCAGTATTACTTGCATTAAAATTCACCCCTATATTTGTTAAAATCGTTTTAGTTTTTATCTTTTTTGCTATTTGTTTAATTTATTATAAATCTCATTATTCTCATAATTCTCGCAATATTTTCAAAATCAGTCTTTTCAAATTGAACATAAGTGTTATTATCCATTTCATATTGATAGATTTCATATGCATCGAATCATAATAAGTTAATATAAATTCGACCTTCGTAGTATCTTTCTGTGGTCGGTGTATATATATATATATAGGTGTATAAATATATATATGTAAGAGCTCTGTTGATCAAATTTCAGATTATGTTGAAGAGGTCGAATTTATAAAGATATTGTGGTGTGTTAATCCACACTAAAGTTCTTCTCGATTTTTGGTAACTATAAAATATTACCAATTTTTATTTTTTTCCAGTGGCACTCACCACCGCCGGTTTGGCTAGCTTTATTTATTGCTAAACATCCTTTCGCTGGAGAAGCACATAGGGGTAAGAGTGAAGGCCGTACCACCCAGCTTCCACCTTTAATGACGGAAAAGAAGGAAGTGAATTCGATGCTTGTCTGAATAGATCCAATCACCATCTTGCCTTCCCAGAGAATGCAATTGAATATTTGCATATCTGTGTAAATTTTAGGGCACAACAGTACATGGCGTTATGATCTGCCTGGTTTCATTAAACAATAAATAAATGAATCTACAAATATTTATCAAAATTTAGAAAGAACATTTACTAAAAATTTTATTATGCTTCAAGCGTCGCAATCAAAGAATTCCATTAATTTACAACTAAATTACTAAATTGATAACTTACCTTTTATCATTAACAATGCTTTGTTCATTAATTTTTTACTTATAACTTCCAAATTTGCTTTCAGTTCATCTAAAGCAGTGGTTCTCAACAATGGTTCCATTGGAAATTATGTAGTAAACCGTAATCGAATATAAAATATTTTTAAATATAAAATATAAAATTCTTAAAAATACAGTTAACGCAAAACGAATTAAAGAATGCTGAATGCTTGAGATTAGTGAAGAGATAGTAAAGATATAAATTTTTGCCCATGCGATTTCCAGACAAAAAAACAGCAAAACCACGAATACTGCATTTTCTCATTCTCGGTGAAGAAGGTTCATGGATCCCGATTTTCTCTTTTTCTGTTTTTTGCCTACTTTTTATATGCCAGGGTATCCCTTGGCGATGAGTCGCCAGCATCATCCGGATTTCTGCACAGGTTTACTCCTGCGGGGAATCGAACCTCAGCATCGACGCTTCCAATTGCGCAGTGCCAAATTTTTTTCGAATAGCCTAATTGTATCAAATTTTAGATCAAATTGTTACAATGAAATGAAGAGAAACTATTTACAATAATTAATTATAATAGTGACTATTATAATACTAATAAGTGTGATTATCAAGGCAAAGGTTCGATTCTTTTCCCGAACGGGAACAGACCTGTCGTCTGAGTGGTGTTGGTAACCCAACTGCGTTCCAATCGCTAAGCGACTCGCGACAAAAATTTCTAACCATGGAGCAAACCAACCAGAAATGGTGTACGCCAGTCACTTAATTATTTGCTTATTAAATAATTCAGCAACGTGTGCAGTGGAGTGTTTCGTTGTATTCAGAAAGGCACGGTAATGTTCGGCGGTTTCATCATTCTTGTTGTGAGGATATTAATAGAACGCAGTTAAACGAATATTTTATTCATTTGATGAACGAATAACTATTTGCGTTGGGCTGTGCAGTGCACTCTCTCTCCAGTTTTTGCTTCCTGCAGCGAGTGTAATGATCAGTTGTTGCAGTCCTTCTGCACAGCCAATCTGCACGGCCGCCTAACTTCGATCATCTTTTGAGAGAAAATCTCCAAAGTGCAAATTTCTTTAAATTAAGTGCTAAAATTTAAAAGCATCATTAAACTTTCGATGAATATTGCTTTTTCATTTTCAGTTATTTTACATCGTATTCCATACATTTCGCTGGCGATTTGCAACCATTTTGCTTGTGGTTCGCAAAATTTCGAAATATTTGATGGTTATGATGAATTTCATTTATTTATTTCTATGTATGCTTGTTTCATTCGATTCGGAGGTTAGAATGAGATAAAATTTTCTTCTGTGTCTCCTTTTAATTATTTATCACTACTTTTAGGCGTTTGATAATGGCCAATTTTCTTCTAAGCCAAGAATAAGTCTTAGGCTCACTCAAGCCGTCCGTAAGCCCGAAGATTTCATTTCCACTTATTTTCTTGCTGAAATTTAGCTTTTCCTTCAATTATGAATGGAGGCAAACCTCCACTTCAACACTAAATATATTCATGGTTTTATCACTAGAAGATATCGCTTGAGCAAAGCAAAGGAAATAGAAGGGAGTGCGGTTGAAAAGAACATTTTTATGTGTTTAAGTTGTATTTAAAAGGGTTCATAGACTCCCCAAAGTGTTTCGTCAGACTGCCAAAGGCGTCCATTATGCAGAAAAGATGCCTGGTGACTCTGATTTAGATATTTACTTAACCTAATTGTATAATAATTTTGGCTTTGGAATAAAATTTGTAGAACAAAGGGGATTCCCAAAATATTCGTCGTTAAGCGCAGTTGAGAGACAACCGGAGCATCAGCTGAATGCTGAAGAGAGAATACGGAACGAAATCTATTATTAAAAATAAATTGACGAAACGAATTTCCCTCGCTGTAATGGATAAATAAATAGCTAAATAAACAATATTTAATAATATAACATGAACGAATAATAAATTTGTTTATATTCAGAGCGTCCAACAAGAAATTCGATGTAAAGGAAATGCAAATGGCTGTACACACGAAATTTGTTACGATATAATTCATATGTCAGGAGTTAGTTTATTTTAATTGTTTATTCATTTATCAAATTAGAATCATTTGAAAAATATCCGAATTAGACGCAGTAAATATAATCGAATCGCAACAAATGTTTAGAGCGGTTTTAAGGTTTCTGAGAAATAAGATACAATTTCACTTATGTCAGCTTATTCTTTAATGTCCTTCATTTTAAACATAAAAAATTATTGGTTACCAGTAAAGAAGAGGAAATAATTAAGACTATGCTCGAATCTGCTTGCAAAAGTGAAACGATATGCCGCTCGACTCATTCCTCTCAATGTAAATTTACTCATCTTCAAGTAATTATTTTTTCCCTTTCTAATTAATAATTATCATTTTGGCATACGTCGAAAACTAAGTACATTATTGGACATGAGGGCGAAACGAGAGAGGAGGAAATGAAATGGAGCGCATGGAGTGAGCTGAATGAGCGGAGGAAAATCAAACATCCTATATTTTCTTAATTACAAAGTCACAGAGATGTACTGAATCTTATGGATTCAGTGGGTTTTGACCAATAATTTCTCGCTTGACTGGTTGTTGATGTAGTTTTCACAGTAATTTTGACAAGTCTTTGATAATGGAAACGACTTCTTTGTTCATTATTCAATGTGAATAAATTGTTAATTTTTTATATATTCAGTTATATTCAATTGATTTGCAGTTAACTTGTTGCTGTTCAAAATTATATTGTAATGGTAAAACTAAACAGCGGTTGCGAGCTGTGCGTGAACGATTCAAAAAAATTGAGAAAAATTATCCATTAAAAAGAATTTCAAGAAAATCAAGTTCTGATCAAGCAAATGGACAGTCTTCGACGATTGGACGAGATTTATTCAATTTAGCAAATGCTCATAAAAATGATAATATTCAAGTAAACAACAATGATAACGAACTATATGAAGATCGTTGGATGAGAAAAGATAATAGTAGCGGAAAAAAAGGGAAGAATATTGAAATACCGTCCAAAGAAGGTAATAGCCAGCTTGAGCAACGAGCAAATTTTACTACTCTTAAACCTAGTACACCAATCAGCAGCATAAGAATCACTTCGAAAAATGGGAAAAACATTCCTCCAGAAATCGATCCAACTACATTACTATCATTTACACCGAATCAATCAAAGACTCAATTTACAATGAGCGAAAATTTCAAATCTATCACTTTGACAAGAAGGAATGAAGTTTCCTTTCCTTCATCCAATACAACAAAAAGTTCGACATCTTTCACAAAGCGCCATGAAAAACCCCTCTCGACGAAATCACCAGAAATTCGCACAAGTATACTGTCCACGTCAAACATTTCCTTTACAAACATTAAAATAAGAGAAGAGATAAAATCAAGAGAAACAACGATTTCAATCCATTCTGACACTCATATTTTACCAATCGTTTCACATATCGAGGACGACTATATCACTAAATTTCCAGAAGAAAAGAAGAACGGACGCACTTCATTTTCGGAAGAAAAGAATCATAATGCATCGCCATTCTTGAAACGATCTCATTTAGCTACGGAAAAAAATAAAATTCAATTTATTGAACAGAATACAAAAACAGAAGAAGAAAACGATGTTAATGCTATGAAAAGGACGATACCGTGGTGGATTATAACTCTCAGTGGTTTTATGATTTCTGTTATAATTGCAGCGATTATCTTCAAAATAGTTAAAAAAAGGTAAAGTTTTTTTAAAATTTTAAGATAATATTCCACTTGAAATGGCTCGTCTTCTAACGGCTTTTTAAACCTCTTCTAGTCTGGCCGGAGAGATGATTCCCATGTTCCGGAACCTTCCGATATTCTATCCGACTCGAAATATTATTAAATTTATGGACAAGATAAAATTATTATACATTGATTTGATAAGCAGAGTAATAGAAAAATAAACGAGAAGTTTCATAATTTCTCAGCAAGGATGAAATACTTGGTAAATATTTGTCTGTCTATATGTCCTGAAAAAATGAGGCTGTGACTTGAAAATATCTCTATTGTAAAACTGTATATTGGAATTCTCTAATTCCCCAGAATTTATCAGATTTTACGAAAACTCACTCAAAATCTGATTAATTATCCTCTCATTAGCCAGTTTTCGGGCCTCTAACACTACATTCTTTCTTTCTTTCTTCTTTTGTCCTCTTAATACCTCGAAATTCTCACAAATCCAACAATCGTCCTAATACTTCTGCATCCGTAAATGCTACAAAATCATAAAGGATAATGCGACAGTGATTGAAAGAGGAGCACTGAGGAAACATAAAAGAGAACTGGGCAGACGGTAAGTCTGTTAAAGGAAGGTAACGGTGACCTGGAGAGTGTAAAAACATCCGATATAGAATAAGAAAAGTTGATAATCGAATATAAAGGCTTAGAAGGGATGTCAGGAAATAAGTATATGTTCGGCTTTGAAGAAGACTTTACCAGTTTGGAGGAAGAATAACCTTAGCGGATGAATGTTCTGAATTATTTTAGGTCAAAATCGACAAAACTAAATGCAGAACAAGAATTAACACCTTTGAAGAAACTGAATGAAGAAAAGGATGAAAGATGAGCACTGGAGATGTGTAAAATGCATCGTTGGCAATAATTTTCGTAAATTTTGTAAATTGTAAAAAAGATATATATTTTAGACAAAAGGATTTTTTTAATAGATGTGGCAGTCAAAATCATCATATTTTATCTTAGCTATAAATGTTGCTTTCTTCCGAAAAGGCATTAAATTTTTTGTCCTATTCTGCCTCTTCTGCACCATACAAATCAAATCAAATCAAGTGAGATACGGCTCCACAAACACCAAATCCCACCCAAAATAAAGTGCGGTTGAAAAATTTACAATTCGATTTAAGCCGCCACGATCAATTTTTCTCTCTTCCATCTTGTTCACTTAAAATCTATCTAACCTTTTTGTATTCTAGGCTATCAATCAAACTCTAAAACAAATATTCAGTTTCATAAAATTTTTAATAAATGTTTGAAAAAACGAATGAACCTACTGCTTTGTGTGATGCACGACACAAAACAATCCTACGAAGCTAGGGTACTGGTGTTGAACCTGGAAAGAATTCACCTACCTCCTCCAAAAACTTTTGCAAATTTTTCCCTGAATAATAGAAAGGATCTCCATTAAATAGCGTCCTTTATCCTCCATTCCAGCTATTCCACTCTTCATCCTCAAATATTATTTCAGTTTTAACACGCATCCTTCTAGCTTCTGCTGTTGTATTCTCGAATCGAATGCAATGCGAAATCCCTTTTATTATAAAAATATTAAATTCACCAGAAGAAACCAAAACTATTAAATTAAAATATTCGTAAGATAAACATTGACTATTTGGTTATTTTACGAAATGCGAGAGATTATAATGTACTGCAGACTGTACGGAATGTTACGGCCTCTTTCAATTTTCGGTGTGCATTTCTGTTTTTTTTCGAATTTTCTTCCATCTTTTTTGCCTCAAACTTTGGTTCCCTTAGTTCCAAGCTTTGAGCATTTAATTGACGATCTAATTTAATTGACGATCCAACATTCTTTCTGCTAGTGATTTTCCCTCTTCTTTCAGAACCATCCTTTGCAGTTATGCAAAAAATATTCACTAGACTTCCTTCCCACCCCATTTTTGACAAAACCCTTTTGAACGAATCTTCCAACAAGTTCATTTGACCGTAGGTGATATAGATTGGCGTTCGACTTTCATGCGCAATACTCTTTCATCGTTCTTATAAATCGTTTGCAGCGACTTTTAGAAGTGATTTCACTAAGAAAAAACGTGTGCTAGTGACGCAAAGATTTACGCTATCTATAATACAAAATAAAGATGCACAAAAAATCTACTATGAAGACAATATAAAAAATTAACTTTTACAGGTCGATTATAACAACCAGGACGCATGCAAATTCCAAATTGCTCCCCCTCCCTCTACCTTCCCGCAACATTTTTATTGTTCTCTATGCATATTCTCAGCTCAAGATCAAGCTTCAAATACAAAAGCATTTGTAAACTCAGTTAAAATCAGGTCAACCTTTCGCGATAAGCTAGGAAATAAAACAAAAATGAAAATAAAATATTACGATGGCAATATTTCGACGAATTTCATAAAAATAATTGAAATGCAGGCACCACAATATAAAATAATACTTTAACTTATTCATCATTTACCATTAGTCGCCCTGACTGCCTGTCGGACTAGATAAATATGCCAGGAAGTCCCGTGGCAACAAGTTTGCTCCTGCCGAGAGCAGGAACCCCAGCAACCACACTCCAAACTCTGGGGAGTAGCTCGGTGGACTCGAACTCAAACCTCGATCCTCAGCATCAGTCACCTTGCCACTGAGCCACCGACGTACCACTACGGTTGCTTACAATAGTAATAAATAAAAAGTTAATGTGGATCTAAATCTATTGTCAACACACAGTTTTTTCATACGATTTATATCCCCTTTTATCAGATTTACTATTGCAGCATTCCAGTGTTCCAGAGTGTTTTGTAAATATAAGATTTGTGCCAGTAGCCTTTTAACGTCGGAATCTGGTTCCTCAACATCTGACGCTGACCGTGTTAATCCGATATACATACAAACCGGTTCAATCAGTATGCAACAATAATCAGTATACACTCTCAATTGACATATATAAATCTTGATGAATATGACGTACAACATAAGGAGAAATTTTTCAGACAAATTCTTCGCTCGAAAACCCTCATCGGAAAGACAGATACTGACTGCGATTCGAAGTTTTTTCTTGAGTCCATATTAGTCGTGCGTCTTATATTTCGGTCCTTCAGATTATCTTCTTTGAAATGGCAGTGTAATAATAAGTGTAGGAAGCCGCACCATCGAATTTTTATCCTCAAACTTGACTAATTATACCAATTTATAATATGCAACGAGGAAGTAAACAACGAGGGCTAGAAAACGGAATAACAGAAAATTTGACCATGCAGGAGCGGTAAATGGCTTCTTTGATGGCCTCAGAAGCCTCAGGCTCTCAGGTCTCCAGTAGAGGATCCGAAGTTGAGAATGATTCTGCCACCAGCAGGGGTGGGAAAGAGTTTTTCTGATGCTTGCTTTACATATAACTGCCATGTTTATTCCTCTTTCTGAACATATTTTCTCATATTCGCTTGGTTATTTGCAAAGATTTCGTCAAAATATACTCATTTATCAATCAAATATATTCTTTCGCATAAATAAAATGATGTTTATTGAAATTTATTCTGTTCATTTCGTCAATAAATGAACAATTGTAACAAACAACTAAGCTGTGCACATATTTTTGGAGACAGGAAGGGCGACTGATTGTTGCCCGTTATGCCCAGCGTCAGGGATCGCACTCGGCCTCCAACATAAGCAAGACTGTCATCCAGGTTATGCTGGCGACTCGCCGTTCCATCACCAAGCAGTTCCCTAACAAGAAATACCTCATCGCACCAAAGCCAATAGAACAAGCCTAGGCCAAAAATAAACTACGCACCACTACGAACCCAACCACTTTTCCAAGACATGTTCGCACAAGAGATGATCTAATGCTACAATGTCTTTGCCAGAAAATTTGGAAATTTTTCATACAGTAATTATAAAAACACTGCATTATAGTAATGATAAAAACTCAGCCGCGGGTATAATTCGATAAAATCTATCCGTTTCCATGTGTCCGTTGCCGTTAATTTAATAAATATTACAAATTTTTGGGTTTTTCGTTTTAGGAAATATGAGTGATTTCATTTCCCTTTTCTTCCAATAACAGAGCGAATTTTTTTAGAGAAATTTAAAATTACGAAAAACACCGAAATTATATTTTCTAAAAATGTTTTAACAAAAATATTTTTCATTGATTATTTGTTTTATTTAATTAATTTTATGTGATTTGGTTGTGATTTAAATATTTTTCCGATTTCTTCTCAAAAATTGGCTGAAATTTTTCGTTAAAATGCAAATGAATTTTGTTTTATGCGATTCTCGGGACGAAGAAGAATTTTTCTTCGTTAGTTTGCAATAAACGTTCACTTTCGCGCTTCCGCCGTTCAGCCGTTCGCCCCTAAAGCGATGGAAATTCGTTCCCTTCTCTAATGTGCGCGAATTCGGTCGGATGTAAATTTATGGACTCGCATCTATTGAACAGCTCTTTATTGTTGTAATTCAGGTAGTATTCGAAGAAATATCCGACATAGAAATTCATACGAACTGTAAAATTGCCATTTAGTGGGATGTCTGATAGTGAAGAAAGCGATTATGAGAACGAAGAAAATGCTGATGCTGTGGTCAGTGGATCTCTTTTTCTGCACCATTAGCAGCCATTTTTGGCCGAGAATAAAATAAATTAAATTATAGAAATGCAAGGTTTAGGAGTCGTCGGACCAGAAACAAAGAGACAGCAGTGAGGATGAAGATGAAGAAAGCAAAAATATTCTTCGGCCTACAATTAAGCAGAGAAAACGCAAGGTAAACAATAATTTATTTATTTTCTGAAATATATTTTATATTTATTTAAATTTTGGTTTCCAACATATTTTTCGCTTCGAGTTTTGCTTTAATTTTAATGATTTGAGAAAAAATTCATAATTTTCCCTCATTTTTTTCGGTTGTCGTAAATCTTTTGCTCTTCATGTTATTGTTTCGTTATCACCAAATTATTTGTTCACCCAAATTTTAAATTAACTCAGATCAATTCGGATGAGGAAGATAACAAAGATGATGAGGAAGATGATGAGGAAATAGAGGAAGATGATGAAGAAGATGACGATGATGATGAGTACAGAGGCAGGAAATTACGAAAGAAAAAAAAGGTAATTTCAAAAGGATGTTTGTTTATCTATTTCATTCATTTAGATATTCAATCAGACAAAGTTTATAACCGTTTGAGCCATTTGACTTACCCAGCGGAAATTGATAAAATTGAATAAAAATGAAAAGAGTGATTAGTTTTTGGAATAAGATATTAAATTATTTTATACCAGTATTATAAATTGTCATCTTTATTTCTTCACATTTCACGCATTTGATCCAAATTTCGTTCGCCAAGCTCACTAAAAGATACTTTTCCTGGGCGTTTTTTTTTTGTTAATTGATTATTTAAATGATTTATTTTTATTAAAATTTCTCTGGTAGTATTTCGACTCTGTAGAAACAAGAAAAAATTTAAAAAACATTCTTTATTATTTTTTTAAGAGACGTACGGGTGTTCATCAGTTCATACTGGATGATGTTGAAGTTGACGATGATGAGGAAGAAGAGAGTGATTTTGAAGAAGACGGTGATGAAATGGGCATAGATCCCAAAGAACGTGAAGAAGCTGAAAGAATGATGAGAGAACAAGATGAACGTAATCAGGACGGTAGACGCAGGGATATTTTTAGGTGAATTTAGAATTAAAAAAAGTCGTATTTATTTTTGAAAATATTTATAATACGATATTTTTCGATTTATTTTTTCCTGGAATAATTTTTAGTGGAATGAATGAAGCTCAAATTGAAGACTACTTCAAGAAGAAATATTCCAATCAGTTGCCATCTAATGAAATGACTGAAGAGAATATGGTAGTAGATGATATAGCGCGACAGTCTTTGCTTCCTTGCACAAAAGATCCGAATCTATGGATTGTGAAATGTCGTATGGGTGAAGAAAAATTAGTCGCTCTGCAGTTGATGCGGAAGTTTTTGGCCTATGAACATGCTAATGTTGGTTTTTCTTAAAATTTTAAAAATTTCAATTTATTCCGTTTGAATTTAGTCCACTTACTTATTTTATGGAAAGTGGAAATTTTTGTTCAAGATTATTAAAAATTAACTTCCTTGGCCTTTATTTGATAAAAATGATAAGAACATAAAAATGATTTTCAGCCACTTGAAATCAAGTCAGTTGTCGTTAAGGAAGGTTTGAAAGGCATTATATACATTGAAGCACTAAAACAGAGCCATGTTGCTGCAGCAGTTGAGGGAATATCAGCCCTCAATATATATCGGATTACTATGGTGCCAATTAAGGAAATGTGTGACACACTCAAGGTGGCGAAAGATATCCCATCTCTGAAAAATGGGATGTATGTGCGTCTCAAAAGAACAATGTATAAGGATGATCTTGCCCAAGTTCCGTTTATTCTTTAATTTCAATTTTTTCCTTTTATTTTCTCAAATTCCCAAATATTTTTGGCAAAATGGAAAATATTTTCGTGGAATTTCCATTAATTATGGCAATTAATGTGTGATTTTTTTTCTAGGTCGATTGGGTTGATGTTGCACATAATAAGGCTTATTTGAAACTAATACCACGGATTGATTATTCGAGAATGCGTGGTGCTTTAAGAACACCAGTAATTTCATATTTCTCGTATTCTGTTGATATTTAAAAAACTAATAAATTATAAAAAAATTCGTTGACCTATTTTTTTGTAAAGTGCTGCTTAAAGCTTTTTTAATACTCTAGGATGAACCGCGTGTTATACGAATGAAACGTCGACCGCAAGCACGTTTATTCGATGTCGATAGAATCAAGTAAATATTTTGCTACTTCTTCAGAAATCAGTGCAATTTTTGTTGTTGTCATACATAAAAAAATTATATATTTTTATAGGGAGATTGGCGGTGAAGTCTCTACAGATGGTGATTTTTTAACGTTTGAAGGAAATCAGTACCGTCGTGGATTTCTTTATAAATGGTTCCCCCTTAATATAATTGTAGGTTCATTTGATTAATATTTGTTGAGTTGATAATAGTATTACAATTTTCATGTGTAATTTTGTATGATTTCTTATTTAAATTCAGGTTTTCAGCCATGTCGCTTGATATTATTCGTTTATTACTTAACTATAGACTTAAAATATTCTTAAAAATTTTGACATGCCAATTGCTTTATTTTAGAATTTGACTCAACAATTTTCCATATTACTTTTACAATGATTGCTGTTTATAGCTTGTCGATGGTGTGAAACCTTCACTTGCAGAATTAGAGAAATTCCAAGAAACGAGTGACGATTTGAAAAAGGAATGTAGGTTTTTATTCAATATATATATAATGTATATTGCGTGTTCCATATAAAACGTTTAAAAAAAAAAAAAAAAACTAAAAAATTGTGATTATATGAAAGTGTATTAGATTCTTTTACTCTTTTTTTAGTGGAAGGGACGAAAATCAAGGATCGCGCATGTATTTTTGCGCCAGGTGATTATGTTGAAGTAGCTGAAGGTGAATTGGTGAATCTTCGTGGCCGAATTCAAAGTGTTGATTGCGAGAAAGTTGTTATGATTCCTGATCATGAAGCTTTAAAAGTTTGCATCAATCTATATCGTTTTATTATTATTATATTAATATTATTTATTATCATTATTCATTTTTATTATTTATTATTATATTAATGTTATTTTAATGTTATTATTATATGTTTAATATGTTAAATGTTATTTATTATTTTATTATTTATTATTATATTAATGTTACTTTAATGTTATTATTATATGTTTAATATGTTAAATGTTATTAATGTTTGGTATTATTATGATTTTTTCTTATTGACTTTTAAAAGTTTATAAATTTATCGGTGTTTTTCTCGGATTTTTTTTTAGGAACCACTTACCTTGAAGGCTGCTGATCTCAAAAAATTTTTCAAAACAGGTGATCACGTTAAAGTCATCAATGGTCGTTATGAAGGAGATACTGGGTTAATTGTGCGTGTCGAAGAAAATCTTGTAATTCTATTATCAGATTTGACAATGCATGAAGTACGATTTACATATTTTCTTTTTTTTTTAACAATATTAATGAAAATTTTGTTTTCTAAGCGGTCAATTTTCTGTTTCGCTCTTCTATTTATATTACATATATGTGTATATAAATAAATATATATTAATATGCAATTTAACCTTTATATATATATACATATATATGTATCGGGTGATGCTGGCGACTCACCTGTGTTTCTGTCGGACTCCATGGCATATTGCCCAATGCGACAAGCCAGTGGAGCGAGTTTAACCAGTAATGGTGAGGACTCTTAAAAAAGAAAAATGTATATACATATAAATTTATTCTTTTCCTTTTGTTTTTTTTAAAATTGTCTTTAAATTTCTCTTATTTTAATTTATTTCTATTTTCTTTGTTTTTGATAAGAGTAAACTTGTCGTGATGTCAAAAATCTGAGTGACTGCTGGGGACCCACCTGTATCTCCATTCTCAAGTGACTCTATGGTGAGAGAGTCAGGTCTTTTTGATGCGACATCCGCACCCTTCCGACGCGCGTGTTACTTCTGACCCGGTGGTATATGCGACAAATATGCGATCCGGGCCTAAGCCTAGTAATGATAAAAATCTGAAGCACAAACATGGAATTTCTCGAACGGAGATAAGTACTCAAAACCCGTCAGCGGAGGCGAGAATCTATCTAATACTTTATGAGATTGTGGTGCTGGTTGTGTCTGCTTGGAACGTCAGAACGTTTATGGATGATGCAAGCCAAGCGATCACTGTCCACACCCTTTCTAAATACCGTGTGAGTGGCTTGTTTATAGGAGGTCCATCTTCCTCATTTCAGCTCTCGAATAATTATTAAACCTAGTTCTGAGCAAATATATTGATTACTGTCTCGGATGACTCGGGGCGAAATGGTGTAGCGATTGTTATGTCTAAAAATCCACTCGATCTGCTCTGATTGAATGGAAGCCAGTAAATGACCGTATGGCCTACGCGCGTTTCAAGAGGAAGTTCTGCAATATTTCGGTCATCAGTATATATGCTCCAACTTTATGCGCAGATAACCGCGATCTGGGTAAGTTCTTTGCGGAGCTTCAACAGTTACAACACAGAGGTGACGTGATCATAATCGGGGGAGACTGGAATGCGGATCTAGATCATGATGCCGTTGTGATGAATTCTATAATTGGCAAATATGACATCGGGGTCCAGTGCGCTAATGGAGAATGCCTTCTTCGTTTTGCCGAATAGCATTAACTCTGTTACTAATACATGCTTTCGGCATCGGAGAAGACATCTAATCATGTGGAACTCTCCGGACAACCAATATTCCAATCAGATTGACTATATATTGGTTAGTCATCGCTGGAATTCTTATCGGGGTGCTGAAACTGGTAACCGTCATGTTATGGTTTGATCCAAGATTCCTATAAAACTGACAAGTCGTAAAAAACAACATATCCCAAGATCTTTCAATTATCTCAAATTAAAAGATGCGGGAACAATAAGCGCATTTCAAACCTCAATTATTGAAACACTTCAATGAAATGAACGTCAATGACATCTCTGGAAAGACGAATGAATACTGGTCCCAAAAAAGATATGCCTACAAAAAGTCACTCACCTCCACACTAGGGTATACTAATGAAGTGCGTTACTTGGGCTCGGAAGCAACTGTCCAATTGACTATCTGAAAAAGTTATCAACGTCAGGAGATCCTGATTCTCGGATGTTTCGAAGAATTACAACGACAGCAGCTTGGGTAGGTGATAACAGGAAACTTTTTCGCCTTCTTCACAAACTATAATTCGAGAAGAGGTCAGTGAAATGATGCATGATATTGATGGGGCGCCTATTAAAGCTATTAAGGATCGCCTCAGAAGATGGAAAGAATTTTTTGAGGCCAAACTTAGCCACGATGTTATCTATTTATTATCCCGAATATGGCTGATTCGTATACCGAGCCATACGATTGCAACTGCTAACCGCCAACAGAAATAATCTCTATAATCCATAAGCTTAAAGCCAAAAAAATTTCCGTAGAAGATAGGGCCGAAACTGAACTCTTCAAATGTTGTCCATCATCGTTCATGGCTCACCTTCTACTAACGCATTCTAGAAATGTTTTTTCCGGTTGATGAAATCGAACTGTCGTGAAATCACCATAAAGACGAAAATCCGTGTCCATATAGTTGCGATTCGCTCGATTTTACTCTCTAGCTACGATACATGACCAATGAAAGTGAAGGATATTATCGACATCGATATCCACCTATCTCTTAGGTCATTTTACGGGAGCGGATAAAATCTCACGTGACTAGTTGTGGCGTCCGACCGAGCAGCTTGGAAACGTCTTACCCTTGTAGCCAGCAGAGCCAGGCTAACAAGTGATAGTAAGATCTGTAAGAAGAAAAAGAGTAATAACGATCCTTTGTAAATTTAAAAATTTTTTAACCGAAATAATTATGAAATAATTATCATGTTTTTTTTGTTTTATTAATATTTAAAATCATTTTAACCATTTTTTGTTATATTGCTATTTTTTGTTTCTAGTTGAAAGTTCTTCCAAGAGATGTACAGCTTTGTGCTGACGTCACCACAGGCGTAGATTCTCTTGGTCAGTTTCAGTATCAGGATCTTGTTATGCTAGATCAGCAGACAGCTGGTGTAATTGTCCGATTAGAAAAAGAATATTTAGAAGTTCTGAATATGCATGGAAAGGTATTATTGTTAAATTAATATTTTTGAGAAGAAATTTGTTCAAATTTTTTTTTTAGAACTTCATTTTTTAATGTTATTATTCAAGGTTGTTCGTGTTAAACCTCAAGCTATTCATGGAAAAAAAGACACAACGTACGCGCAAGCCTTAGACAGTCAGCAAAATAATATTCAAGTGAAGGATACCGTGAAAGTTGTAGATGGACCATATGCGGTTGGTTTTTTTTCTGCTTCGCAGTTTCCAAGTTTATTGATGTAGATCTGCTATAATACGTCAATATATGAAATATTTAAATATTCTGCATTTTTGAAATATTTTTGACTAAAATAATTATTTTATTTGGAGAGTTTTTTGTTCAGTTTTTTCCTTTTTTCCTATATTATAAGTAAATAATATATATCAGTCTCGTTGCGATGGAGGTGAGGAAGATAAACAAGGAGAAATCAAGCATCTCTATCGGTCTTATGCTTTTATTATGTCGAGAAAACATACTGAAAATGGCGGAATATTTGTTTGTAAACCACGCCATCTGTTGCTTATTGGCTCAAAGCAAAATGGCCGCAGTGAGTCCTCTCAGTGATTAATTATTGTTTATTAATCTATTTGAGTTTCAGTAGTAAAAATTTGACACGTAATTAATCAGTCTCTTCCATAATTTGTTTTTTTTCCATTTTTTAATTTTGTTCTTCTATTTTCATCTTTTTTTTTGTTTTATATTTTATCTTATTTATTTATATTGTTATCTCTACTATTCGTAATTTTTTTCTTAATTTTGCAACATTTTCTTTGGCGATTCATTGAATCTTTTTGGCCAAATCCGTAAGAGTCTTATTAATACTTATTTTCAGATGAATATTCAACTAATAGTTTTTTCACTTCTGATCCATTTACTAGCCCACGCCATCCAGGGACTGGTGGGCAGACTCCTCGTCCTGGCAATATGTCTAGTGCCAGGAGTATGAAGGGTGGTGCTACACCATCTCAACATGGTTATTTTAATTATTTATTGTTTGTATGGTGCGTTTATAATGCTTTTTATGCATTAATTTTTTTTTTAAATTTTTATATTCTTTTGAATTTCGAATTAGATGAATTTTTCCTAAGGTGGAAGTACTCTTGCATCATTTAATGGTGGCAAAAGCATCTTTGGTGGTTTCGGTGGAAAAATACATCGTGATAACGAAATCATTGGTAAAAGCGTACGAATTACACAGGGATCACTAAAAGGCTACTTTGGCATCGTTAAAGATGCAACAGAACAAACTGTTCGTGTTGAATTGCATGCAAATTGCAAGGTACTTTTTTTTGTCTTCAGTTTCATAGAAATAAGGAAATAAGGCTATATAAAATATTTATCATAAAAAATTTAATTTTTATATAAATTTGATTTTTATCATAAAAAATTTTTAGACTATCAGTGTAGATAAGTCTCGCATTTTAATTGTTGGTGATGGAACACTTGGAGGTGCTGCATTGACCACAATTGTCGCGAAGACACCAGGCAGGGACGAATTACGGACACCTGTGTACGGCAGTGGTTCTAAAACGCCAATGTATGGTTCTCAGACACCAATGTATGGTTCTCAGACACCAATGCATGGTAGTCAAACACCAATGCATGATGGAGGTATTAAGTTTTCGTTATTTAGCCAGTTGTCTAACCCTTAATAGCTACTTTTTATTCGTGGGTATCTCTAAGTTGTTGCAGGACGGACACCACATTATGGTGCTGTTACTCCTGCTTATGATGGTAGCAGGACACCAGTTCATTCATCTGCATGGGATGCAAGTATTACTAATACACCTCATCGCGATGAAATACATTATGATGAACCTGATTCACCATATAATGTGCCCACACCTGGTTCAATAAACCCACAAACGCCCGGCTATAATCCAGATACATCAATGGGTAAAAATTTTAAACTTTCTGCTTTTTGTCTAAAAATTTTTTTAATTTTTTCTTCCGTTAACACAAGAATTTAGTAAGGACAAAAAGTTTGATCACTTGTTTTAGGTCAGCCATATACACCAATGACGCCTGGTGGCATATATGCTGATTATGCCGCTTCAAGTCCATACTCTCGTCGTGGAAATAATTATGAGAGTGCTGGGTCTTATCCTCGTATGTTATTTTATTTTATTTATTTGTTACTTTAAGTGGGGTAGCTTTTATTTCATTAATTTTTTACAGCAAAAATCTGAGAATAATTGTAGCTATGGCTTTTATGCAACAGATTGCTATCAGCTTATCTATTATGCTTATCAGCTTAATATGTAGTAGTCATAGCATCTAATGGTGCCGTCTTCAAATAGGCCAGTATGCGGCAATCTTCAAGCCGCCAAAATTTATCTTAAAAAGCCACAGGGGCCATAAAATTCTCTGAATCCTAATCATATTTGAATTTTTTTCCCTAATTTCCATTTCCTCATTATTAGGCAATAAAATGATTAACATTTTTATAAAAATTAATTTACCTTTGCGAACAGTAATAATAATGATTAAAAGTGATGAAAATAATAATGACAGTGATATTAATATTAATTGATAAAAATAATAATAATAGTAATAAATAATAAATTATAAGTAATAAGTAATAAAAATTGTAAATAATTAATAGTTAATTAATTAATAGTATAATTAATAGTATATTAATAGTATTTAATTAGTATAAATTGTTAAATATTAAATAATTAATGATTTATCTCCATTCTCCATTTTCATTTTTTATATATCGTGCTATATCATCATATACCGGCTTAATAGAATTTTTTATCCCAGTAATTATAACTTAAAATCACATCCACATTTTAAAATTTCAAATCGTTTTTTAAATATTCTTCAAGCTTATCACACCATTTATTTTTATAGCGCAAACATTTGGATCGCTCGGCAGCACTAGTGGAATTCGTTAGTTCTTTTTATATATTTCATATATTTAAGAAAAAATGTATAGGTCCACTTATGCATTCAAAATCTTTCCTGACCATATCAATCCAGGTCTCGATTAGCCCCTGTTGCTCTTGACACCACCATCCAGGGCAAGTAACGAAATATGCATCTTTTTCTGTGGTAGATGATACAGAACGTGTCTTAATCAGCGAAGGCGGCGCTCTATGATAATATTATTAATACAGGTGGTGTTTGAGCGAAGATAAATATAATCATGTGCGATTTTTATCCGCTCGATAGATTCGCTCGTAAAATTTATTTTAGACACGAGTAGTCAAAGGCTTCTTAGCTTTTTAATATCCTCCACTCTCACTGGCCATGTATCGCAGCCATATAGCAAGATTGAAGTTTAAATTTTTGTTTTTGATTTACTTAATTTTTAGCTCTTCATGTTCTCAATTCTGGTGAATGGGTCGGCATTGATATGGTTGTTCAGTTAAGAGATGGTTGTGATGATCCTGAATTAAAAGGTCGAGAATGTACCGTAAAAAGCGTTGATGCTTTGGTAAGTGTTTATCTTTTGGTTTGTAACGAAAAAAGAGATTCGTTTGTCGTTTAACCTTCAAGTCGTTATTTCCTTCCGTTAAAAAAGTTATCATAATCATAACTCGATCGTTGCCGCGTACCTCAATTTCAAACTTGGGTAATTAAACCTTTATTTAGATAAAAATATAATTACAACAAGGATATTAAATAATGAAATAAATATTAAATTGTAATATAAATAAATATTAAATTGTAGTATAACCAAAAACCTAAACAAGCAGAAGTACAAAATACCAAACCAGTACCAATCGAGCAAGAAACACCTTAATTACGATCCCCCCGTTGCTCACCTATGATTACAAATGAAACAGTAAATTGTTCACCAAAAAGGAGAAGAATCGATACAAAATTGCAGCCTCAGCCACGCTTTTGTTGGTCTTCAATCGATTCTGCTCATTTTTGAGCACACTTCCGGAGGGGCCTTTGTTAGTTAAATTCGTATCGTTCCTCTTTGTCGGCGTCGTCAGTTATCTCTAATGGAGCTAGTAAGTTGATTGGTTGACTCGTTGTCCGGTTGTTAGCCAATGTTAATGAAACCGATCGTATTTTGCCATCGGAATTTCGGATGAATTCGGTAATTCTTCCTAGCCTCCATTGAGCTATGGGCATAGTGTCGATTAAAATGACAACTTCCCCTTCTTTAGGTTGGCGAAGTGTCATCGATCTCGTTCTTGCATGCATGTTTCGCTTAAACTTTGCAGATCTCACCTCTGCCATAATTTCCAAAAATAGTCCAAACATTTTATGTCGATTGCCCAGTTCCGTAGTAAATCTCCTCTGCGTACATTTCGTGTCAGTTCGAGTTCCTTATGGATATCCTCAGCTTGAAGTGTCCAAGGTGGTCATTATTGTAACAATAAGTCTTTCGGTCGTAAATATCGCAAATATTCGAGACTATTTCTTATATAGTAGCACATTGTTAGTTTTCGTTCACAATCGCTCTTATTTCATATATTATAGTTCGAAAATCCTCAGCGTCCATTGTTTGTTTTCCAACCACAGTTCTCAGCATTGTTTTCATTATACCAATCAATCGTTCATTTACACCCCTTGCCCATGGGGCATATTTCCACTTTCCACAGCGGAATGACTCGATCTCTTCTTCGGCAATATCCGCTTGAATTTTCTTGATTGTTTCCTGTGACAAAATTCTTCGCATTGTCAATATCGTTCTTATTTCACCTAGTATAGCCATTAACTTTCGTAACACCAGTAAGAAACTTTCTGCATTTAAATTGTTTACTGTCTCCAAATGGATCGCTCTTGTCGCCATGCATGTGAATAGCGCTATTCATCGTTTTACCTTTTTGTCTTCGTGTTTTACCCACACAGGGCCTGCGAGATCTGCTCCTATATGAATGAATGGCGCGTTTCGCTCGATTCTTACCTTTGGGTATTTGCTCATATTAGGTAGAGCAAATGGTTTGGCTCTCATTCATCTATATTGCAAACACTCCTTGTGAATCGTTCCTTTTATCGTTTGAAACCGTTTGGCAATCCAGTAGGTTTCGGTCAATTTACACACCACTGTATCATTTGGAGCACGTAGTAAGTTGAGATGGGTTTCCATAATAATTAATTTCGTTAAAGGACTGTTTCGTGGCAGAAAAACAAGACTCCTATCGAATCTCCCTTTCATTATCCATAAACCGTGCTCTAGTAATAAGCAAATTTCTTCAAATCCTTTGCTCGTAGCTTTCATTTTGCGCTTGCCATAGCACTATTTCTGCATGATGAATTTCTTGACTTGATATCGAGCCATCTGATTTCACATCTTTACTGCAGTTATAATTATTGTTTCCTACTTTCCTTATAAATCGGAGAACATGTATCAGAATTCTTCGAGTCGTTCGTATGAACTGAACCTAGTAAAATCAATATCAATAATAGATTGTTGTGTCTCATACGAATTCTCATGCATGACGATCGTTGCGTTTGTTTCCTTTGTATGTTGAAGACTATTTATTTTTTCTTCTTCAATCTCTCGTATCTTACGAGTCTTTTCGACTTTTAATTGTAATGGCTAGTGTTGTGATTCCCATATGGGTCCGTGCCACCAGATTTTGTTTCGCTGTAATTCGTCCAAGGAAGTGTCTCGTGTCACATCAGCAGGATTATCAGCAGGAGAAGTGCTTGCATGATGAAGCATATCAGAAGTTTGCTGCTGTTGCTTTTATTTCTTTCGTGCGATTATTTACGAATCGTAATTTGTGGTCCTCTTCGGAGAGCCAGTAAAGTACCATATGGCTATCTGTTCACATAAAAACCATTGTTTCGTTAATATCCAAGTTCTTCTGGACATAATTAGTCATCCTAATACCAATTAGCATTGCCATCAATTCTGCTGTCGGGGTAGTCATTCCTTTTATTAGAATCAATCGTAGTTTTGAGAATAGCAGGTCTGCTTTCCATCGTAATGGTGATATTTGATATCGTATATATAAGCTCGCATATGCTATACTTGACGCATCTATGTATCTGATAAGGCGGTCTTTCAAATGGGATTAGTCGATCAAATTTAATTGCTTCAGATTAATAGTTTTCCGTATTTTGTTAATCGTCGTTTGAATCTTGTCTTCAATGGGTTCATCCCATTTGGCATTGGATTTCCATAGCTGTTATAGTTGTTGTTTCAATAGTAATACTACAGGGCCTATGTAACCCAAGGGATCATAGATTGAAGCTATAAACTGTAGCAATTGTCGATGGATTGGGGTTAACATCAGGTATTCGGATCGAATATCTGTCTTTGGGGAATTCCTATCCAATTCCTAACATTTTAGTTGATTGGGTTTGATCGCTTCGGTCTTCTTCGCTAATTGTTTGTCATTACTAACGAAACTTCTAATAATCATTTTGATTCCTCCAAACAATTTCTTTATCGCTTTATACTTCCGTAGGGCTTTCTCGGTGTCTTTAGCAGCTACTATTATATTGTCCACATAGAAGTTCTAATTGATCTTATTTAAATGTTTATATATTGTAGCCGCTAGCAAGAAGAAACTTGACCTTAGTCCAGAAGGAACTCTTGTGAATCAATATATTTTCATATTTGTATATTACTTGTATATTTTCATCGCTCACTTCTTTTCTTTTCTTAAATTTTTCATCCATAAAAATCGTGTTGCATCTCTATCTTGTGGCTTGAGTTCGATTTGGTGGAAATCCTTCTCTATATCAGCTGTAATTAGAGGGTTCTGGATCTTATCAGTATTTCTGTCAAATCATTTCATAAGATAGGACCTCTGAAAAGATTGTCGTTCAAAGATTTCCCATTAGAATCTTTCGTACTGGCATCGAAAACAATTTATTTTAGTTGTGGTTTTACATGGTGTAATTATCGGATGATGTGGTAAACATCTTGTCGCTATTTTCTGGAGGAAATTTTGCCTTCTCGATAATATTGCTTTCTAATTGTTGTCTAATCAACCTGTCGTATTTCATATCTCCTTCCGGATGATTGTGGAGGGTTTTCACTATTGATTTCAAACGTTCGAAAGCCTTTCCGAAATTGTTTGGTAATTTTGGTTGATTCGTTTTCCATGGCAGTTCAACCTGGTATAATCCATCTTCCAATGCCTCCACACTTTCTGAGAATCGCTTGAGGGCATATGAAGTCATATCTGACGGTGCTTCTATCCTTATTCGTTCTACACCAGAATTGCTCAATATCTTCATTATTCTTAACAATGATATTAACCGTAGTCACGTTCAGCCTAGATTTTCGATTCAGCATCGCCGAATCTGCTAAGAATGTTCCTATTTTGTTTATGTATGAATGGAATCCTGACTTCCATCTGGATTTCCCAATTCGAATTGCTCATAGAAATCGATGCCAATTATTGTCTATGATTTCTCCGAAACAAGGGGTATGGATAGGCAATGATTCTTCCTTAAACTTTCGTGGTGCGTTCTGCTTAATATTTCTCTGTGCACTGGCTGAATCAATTGTTTCGCTGTGAACGCTCTGATCCTTATTGATTCATTGGTGAGAATTCTATCAAACTGTACTATCGTAATTCGTTTTGATAATGGATGATAGTTACCAAAAGTGTTTATTATTATCTTCTCGTTGCCAAATCGAAATAGTATATGAGGACTATGCCCCTATGTCAAATAATATATTCGTTGCTAACTCTCTTGCGCTTTTATCGTCAGGATTTCGTATTTTCTCTCTACAACACATCAGTAGCGTCGTACTGCTTCTTTCATTTGTTCCTGGAGTCACACAGTTCGTTATAGTAAGTCCATCATCACATTTGTTTCATAATGCTTACAAATGTCGTCCACTACAGTGGAAACATTTCGGTAACCGTTTACATTGATTTGCGTTGTGGTTTCTACTTAGACACTTGAAGCATAATTTCTTCTCTTTCACCATTTTTATTCTTTCACCGTAATTTTTAATCTATTCACATTCGTCGCTCCAGTGGGAACCGTCACAGTCCTTAGTCGATTGTTCATTATGTATGCCGAAGTTTTTCGTATGTCCACCTTTGATTTTTGATATCGTGGTTCCTTCAGCTTGACTTCGTCGTTAAATGTCACGTGCCCTTGATGTCTTATGTGATCGTGAGCTTCAATCATGTCGTTTTCGTATAACACATTTTCTAATAATTCTCCCTATTTCGTCATTGTCCATTTCGTATCTACTGCTTTTACTCGAATAATTTGCTGTAAATCCCTCGAGATAATTCAGATTCTGCCAGAATCAATAGTGCTTCTGAATTAATATCGTGGTTTGCGGCTTCAAGCTGGGGTAATATCTCAATAATTGTCGTACTGCTTCAAAGTCATCTTTTTTTGGTGGATATTCTTTAATCTACTCGATAAAAGATGTCGATTTTCCCTTTTAACCATATTGCTTTTCTAGCGCATTTAATGCAATAAGGTAGTTTTCATCGGTCACTGCGTAATGTGAAACGACCATTCTAGCTTTTCCTTTAAGTTGACCCAATAAATAACAGAACTTTTGTACATTCGGAATTTTTAGTTGGTCCATCATCATTTTAAATGATGAAATAAATTGTTCCCATTTACTGAGGTCTCCATTGAATTCGCATAAAGATATCGGTGATAGATGAGATATCTCTGTCGTCATCTGGTTCCTAATTCCATTTATCTGGATGTGATTTCACACTTATTATGTCATTTCTTCGCACTTTTCTGTTTCGACTCTAATTCTATAATCGTTGCTTGAATTTCATAAACCTATTGAAATATTTCTTCTAAATTAATCTCTTCCAAAAATATCTATGAACTGATTCTCTCTCAGTCGTTTGCGTTATACTCAACCATTGTTGTCCTAATTCATTTGTTTAACGATTAAGTCCAACTTTTTCTTCTCGGCTTGCATCCCAGTCATCGACCCAAGTTGCTTAGTCTTCCCTCATACGTTGTTGCACTTGAGAAATGTAACGGTCTTTCAATTTAATGGCACACTCGCCGATTTTTTTTTAGCGTCAATTTAATTTGTGCTTTTATCATATTTGTGCTGAGCCCCCGTGTAACGAAAAAGGGATTCGTTTGTCGTTTAACCTTCAAGTCGTTATTTCCTTCCGTTAAAAAAGTTATCGTAATCGTAACTCGATCGTTACCGCGTACCTCAAAATATAATTACACGGGGGCAAATATAATAACAAGGATATTAAATAATGATATGTATTAAATTGTAATATAACCAAAAATCTAAACAAGCTGCAATACAAAACACCAAACCAGTACCAATCGAGCAAGAAATACCTTAATTACGATCTCTCACCTATGATTACAAATAAGACAATAAATTGTTCCCAAAATGCGGCCTCAGCCACGCTTTTGTTGGTCTTCAATCGATTCTGCTCATTTTTGAGCACAGGTTTTTACTAATTTTTCATTGGATAAGAATATTGTAATTAGCTGATACTTTCCTAAAGTCAAGGATCAAATTCGACTCCTCTTCACTTGTGAGGTTTTCTTATTAAATATGAAATTCGATTCATGTTGATTTGCTTGGATTCTTTCCATCGATCCCTAAATGTTTTTCTAATTAAAGGATCTTCAGTGAGTACCTTCATTCTTTAAAGAAGATTGGTTTAAACATTAGTTAAAAGTTAAGTCTTTGATAATTTCTGTTGATTATGTATAATGTATGATTGCTCTGTATTAAATGTGGTAATTAATTTCGTTCTTATTTTCCCTTTCATGAGTATCAAGTATTTTGCGAAATTACAGGGAGGTCGCTGCACATTATACTCATTCGACTCTGATCGTGAATTTCGAGCGTATTTCAACCAAGTCCTTCCAGTACGTCCTCAGCAAGGGGATAGGGTTTGTTTTTCTTACGAAATAATTTTTTTTGATCAAAATTTATTGAATTTTTCCTTTTATAACGCTTATTTGAAGGCAAAAATTATTTATGGTGATGATGTTGGTATCCATGGAACGATGGTTTCAGTCGATAATACTGAAGCAGTGATAAAAACTGATAATAACGATATTGTACTAAGTCATATCGATTCTCTTTGTCGTATGGAAAACGTATAATTAATTTGTGATGTTTCCTCTAATATTCATTAACTTTTGATATGAATCAAATAACCTTGCTTGTAAATGGCACTAAACGGCAATAATTTAGACCATTCAGGCTAATTGTGATCTGTGATCGAGATGTTTGTAAACAATGAACATTTTATGAATATTTTTAAAATACCAAGTCTATATTTGATATTACCTGAAATTATAGTAGATTTAAATTAAGGACTGTTGTTTTACTTGCAACATTTTGCTTGACCATGCCAAATGTGTTTAAATTTAGTCCAGTGTCATATCTCTTAATTTATAGGTATGTTTATCTATTAAGTGGCACTGTTCTTTTCATTCATCTTCAGTATTAAATGGAGAGGATAATATAATGTTATATATGAAATCTTTTAAATCGTTTGAATCTTATCTTCAATCCATTGTTTATTTTTCTCTTCCGTTCCTTTTTACTTATTTTTAACTGTTAATGCTCTGATTTAAATTTTTATGTAATAGTTCATATTTTGATTGAACATGTAGTATTTGATTGACCAATATGGTAACAAGAATGTGCAAGTTTGTCAAGCTGTTTGGTCAAATTTTTGCAAGGTCATTGTTCTTTAGCAGTTGTTTATTTTAATCAAAGAATTATATAAATTTTTGAAATGTTGGTGGAGTATTGAAGTTCATTTAGAACAATGGAATAAAAGTGTATAAAAGGGTTACCAAAGGGTTTGAACCATTGTTTCCTTGAAAAAATTACTTAATTTCAAAAATGGCTGTTTTTTGATACCACTGGTTTGCATTCAGATTTTTTGGTTGCAATTATATACCATTCGATAAAGATGTCTATTAGAGTTTATTAAAGTTAATGGTCGCACCAGTCAATGCACCATTAGATCATTAGAATTTATAATATTAAAACACCACTCTCATATTTCCACTTGATAATATTCCATATAACTGGAAATGAGTTAGAATAATGATTAGGAAGAAATAAATTGAATGAAAGGAATTTTTTTTTTAAAGAGTCCTCACCATTACTCGCTCCACTGGCTTGTCGCATTGGACAATATGCTAGGGTGTCCCCTTGATGATAGAAATTACAGGTGAGCCAGCATCACCTGAATTTTTGCACAGGTTTACTTCTGCGGGGAATCGGTTGGAAGGAATTGGGAATGGTGAAGGGAATGAGTAGAAATAAAAGAGATTATTTTTTGTACTTCGTATTTCAGCAAATTAGAAATGGTTGTAAGCAAAGAAAACGAAACTGTTGGTTGGAGTAATATGTATAGCGATGATCGACTCGATCCGAAGAGGACAGCGGATTTCGTTGTAAAACATTCTGATGATAGTATCTGTTTAATGGATGATGGAATAGAATCAGCTGCGAAATTGGTTTTTTTTTTGTCTTATGCCATTTCCCGTTGATCATATCTCGAAATATCTCATATCTTTTTGTCAAAAAAAGCGTCGGACAAGTGGAAATGATAGATCAGCAACATAAATAAAAAGCATGAAAATGGCTGCAAACATATCTTTCTAATTTAGCAGAACTAATCACTAATCACTTTAGCTTATTGAGTTGATTATACTAGTAAAATTCTTCGGCCTGGTTTGGTAATATTGTGTCGATGGCCAAGAGATATTAATTTTTTGATGAAAGGAGTAAGTTATAGGAAAAAAGAAAGGAGAATATGCGATTGTCTGCGATGGCATAACTGATTTTCAAGTGAATCGCTGTTTTATAGGTTATGCAACAACAGTAATTCACTGGGCTAAGAAGCAACCACCATTTCTGGTTATTTATCCATTTGCCAGTAATACCCTAATTTTTTAAAAGCAGGTTTCGCCTTATGGAAAGCAGGAACTTTTTCCTCTCGGCACCAACATGCTAATTTGAACCACTATTGGCTCGCCCTTCCACTTTGTTGATTAAATATTATATATAAAATTGAACTGAGTACCATTAAACTAATTTTACTAAAATTTATCCATTATTTTCATGATGTGATGTAAATTTGCAGATTTTTGAAGCATACAAAGCGGGGAAAGTGACTAATCTTGTGCTCGATCTTCATCCACAAAATACCGATTTTTTTGCAGTTGATTGGTGATTTTGAAATTTTTTTAGAAATCTCTTTATTTTTTTAAGTTATTTGAAATTTTTCGGGAGAATTTATAGTAGAATATGGAACTTATTTTATTGATTTCATTCATCCATTATATTTTGAATATTTCTAGGATATTTTTCGTAGATACTATCAATTTTTCATTTTGGTCGGAAGAAGGAGAAAAATTCGAAGTAACGTATAAAAATCAAACATATACTGGTTATTTCGCGGCTTGTGCTTGCGTAAAACGCGCTTTGGACCACGGAATTCCGTTACTAAAAGCTGATTTCATGGAAAATATCACCGAAGATGATATAGCAAATATTTTCAGAGGTGATAAAGGTATATTTAATAAGTTCTGAATTTTAGCCTGTAAATTTGATTCCCCATTTAAATTTTTAAAGATAAATCGTCCGTTCAATTTCACTCTGTGGCATTTTTCGCTTGCGAATGATTCGAATGTTTTATTTTTTCACATTTTGCATGTTGCATGTTTTCTTTTTTTTAGGAATAAGTATACCGCTGGCAAAGGAACGACTAAAAGTTATTTCAGAGGCCGGAAGAGTTCTGAATAAAGTACAATTTCATTTCTGTTTTTTTGTGGTTTAATTGATATTTGTTTAGTTCAGATCTCGGCTTTTAATAGGAGTAAACCTGTCGTTAAAAATAAAAACGAAATGAATATTGAAAATGCGCTTATCTTTTCTCTATTTTAAGTAAATATAGATAGAATTATATTATTTTAAAATAAGTTTCTTACTAAGTTTCCAAATTTTATTAAATCATTTTTTTCTTTATAGAAGTTTCATGGATCGTTTTCCACTTGCCTTGAACAATGTAATAGAAATGCATTGAATTTGATAAAACTCATTATTGATAATTTCGAGAGTTATCGTGATTTCGCGGAGTATAAAACCCAAAAAAGTTAAAATTCAACATTTTCAACATTTTTGGAAGTTTCCATGAAAATAATATTTCTTTCATTATATCATTTTCTGTGATTAGTTAACACTTAATTCTTTATTCATACTAGTAAATGTCCAGTGGAGCATGACTTAGCACATGATTGTAACAAATATTATAGCATCGCATCTTGCACCTCAGGTATTAATTTTAGTTTCGTTTCTAAAACGTGCACAAATCCTTGTTAGCGATTTATATGGCTGTTTCAAAGGTACGGGTGATCTTGCTGATTTTACGAATATTTCGTATGTTTGATTGATTCTTTTATTCTTTTATTTTTATATATGGTTTTCGTTCTATTATTATTAAGAATTATTCAAGTGAAGTGCACAAGTGGATTATTGAATTGTATTAATTCTAACTAAAAAGATCCGTTTCGCAGATTATGAAGGCCTTGGACTTCTATAGTAGAACTGATTTACTGAAAATAAGCCTGCAAATTATCAATGTCATAGGATATTTTCATCTGGTCTTATTTATTAAAAAAGTTCGGATTATAGAGAGAAAATAATTTTTGTTTTCTTTTAAGGATGCTAACAATGTTCGCTGATTATCGAGTTCCACAGGCTTTAGCTTATCTTGGTGTTTTGAAGTATTCGTCTGATGTATTTAAAAAACTTCAAGAACACACGTTACTTGAAAACGGTTCCGAATTAGAAGTCCAGTTGAGAGCCTTTTCTATTAAAGCTTGTGAAGTTAGTTTAAAAACTTATTTTTTTGATGGAATGAATTTTTGTAAATATTTTTGCCATTTCTCATTTCTATCTCATTTAATTGATATGGTTTTAATAAGTAATTAATTAATTAAAGTGTATTGTGGATTCGATAAAAAAGATGTCGAAAAAGTATTCAAATAATAACGATGCGTTATTGGAAATAAATACAACAAATGTCGACACGTTTTTATGGTTTTTTAGACGAAATTATGCCAAAAAAATCGAAGAAAAAGTAGCATTTCATCGTGTTAGATGCATTTATTATTAATTTTTTTCATTACTTATAATATTTAATACTTATTGTTCGTTTATCGTCACATTTACATTTTAACAATAATTTCAATATTTTCGTTATCGCCACTGGTTCTTTTGATTACTGTGGACTGTTTCCAGGTAATTACAGGTAATTTTGTCACAAATATTCATAAACCAGAGACAGAATGTTATTGTTATTCTTATTGTTATTGTTACAACAATTTTATTATTATTTTATTTTCTCTCATTGAAATATTGTCAGATATTATTCATTATAAAACATTTTTCAGTAATCTAATTCGCAACTTCTTTGCTTTAACTTTAAATTTTTCTGTCATTCCATAAATACAATTTTATCAATTTCCAAAGGGAATAGAAAATTTAATATTTACAGCCGAATATTTGGATTATAAAAAGATGAAATATTGAATAACATAGCTTGGCTAATTGATCCTTAGCCAGAAGTGAAATGATGGTGCTGGCTATGCTGGCTGGCTTTTCACCATTAACATCCCCATGTATATTTTTTAAAAAATTACTCGCTCTTTCTTTTGTTGCCTAATTTCATTCGGTAAAAATTATTTTATTACTAATCATTCTTAATTCGTGAAAAAATATTTTCCAATGAATTTTTATTTTAAAAAAATACGAAAAAAAAATAAATGGCAGCCGTACGGTTTAATTACTCAGTTTGAAGAGTAATTATTACCAATACCAATTACCAATTATTTGCATAGCTTATATTGCAGTTTCTCTATTGATTGATGAATGGATCAGGCCATGTTATTGTTTGAGGCAAGATTCGCACAGGACTGATAATTCGTAAGAAATAATATCTCCCAAATTTTTCAACCATCATTCGAGGAGTAGTCAGCGAATTTCAAGCCGAATTATCAAAGCGCTTCAATGAATTGAATATCAGTACCATATCTAGAACTATGGATGAATACTGGCCCCAACTAAAGGCATATATCCGAAAATCATCTGCTTCCATACTAGGATATATTAGTGGCGCTAGTTGGGTATCGGAAACAATTGTCCGACTGTCCGAAAACGTTGCCAAAGCATGAATGTCAGAAGGTCATGATTATCGAATGCTTCGAACACCACGGTGGGACAGAAATCTTTTGGAAAAATATGGCCTTAGAAACGGCGATTCGATTAGCTTATAGCTATTTTGCCTCCTTCACAAAATAACTATAATTCCAGAGACACTCAGTGAAATGGTACGAAATAGCAATTGTGTGCCTGTTAAGAGTATTAAGTATCACCTCATAAGATGGAAGGAATTCTTTGACGCCGAACTCGACTACAATACGCCATCTATTGTCCTGGACACAGTTGAACAAAACAAATAATATCCATGATCCGGAAGGACCAATAAAACTGTCGAAAATAGCTTTCAGATTGAAACCTTCAAATGTTGTCCATTGTCACATTATTCATAACACATCTTCAACAATGGTCATTGCTTGTTGGTATTCAGGAGGTATAAAAATCAGTCCAGTGCGTCTTATCTCAGATCCGGGATACGATAATCTTTTTTGCTGTTAATTGTGTTGTGAGGAATTACAAATAATGGCTTAACGAAGTGTCGACAACTATAGCGAGAATAGGATTCAGGAATGTAAACAAAACGAAAGATTTTTCGTCTTATTTGCAAAAAAACTTATTTTTATCAATTCGCTGCGGTAGTGCCAGATTTTAAATATCTTGGATTCACTCTAGTTGTAAATAACCGGGCAAAAGACGAAATTATAACCTGGTTCACTATAAAGACAAAAGTCTGCATCTTATAGATGCAATTCGCTCTATTTTGCTATATACTTGCAAGATGTCAATGAGAGCGGAAAATATTAAGAAGCTATCTGGCTTTGACCATTTGTGTCTAAGATATCATCTCCAAGTGGATAAAATCTCACATGATTACATCCACCTTCGCTCAAATACCATTTGCGTTAACGGTACCACCACAAAGTGTCGCCTTCTCTGGTTAAGGCACATTCTTCGACGCCAACCACAAGAGTTAACACATATTTCATTACTTACTAAACCCTGTGATGGTGGCGTCAAAAGCAAGGAGGGCCAATCAAGACACGGATTGATACAGTCAGGAAAGATTTTGAATGTATAGGAGGACCAGCGATATATAGGTTTATAAATTAGATGGTGGAAAAAAGAATGGTTTCTATTACTGTCGATGATGGCAGCAGATCGCAAACGTCTTATCCTCGTAGTCAGCGGGACCAATCTAACCAGTAATGGTGAAAGCTGTTAGAAGAAGAAAAGAAAAAAGGAGAAGAGTTTACAAATCGAACATTTCGCATAATTTTGGAACACATCTCGCGAACCACATCTCAAAATCTGTACATATAACTTTACACATTCCAACTTATTTGAAATTATATGCAAATATGCAAGTATATTACGAAGCGATCTGCAAATCGGTTTGCTACTCATACATAAACACGTTTTCTTTGCTGTCCACGTAAATTCTAACAAATAAGAGTCGAAATCCTTTTTACTTGTACTGGCACTCACATTCCGTTTAGAATTTTTATTGCTTTTGGTTTAGGTACCAATTAAGGAACTGCCAAGTATGCTTTAGTCCAAGTACCAACCTGCAGTCTAACTCCACAAATGTTGCGAAGTTACGTGCAAACAATATGAACTCAAATACTATACTGAAAAGAGTGAAATTTCTAATTTTATGCTGCTAATATTGGTGAGGATTTCAAAAGGACGTTTAGGGATCTGGTATTTGGCATTTTTCCAGACTTTTTGAATTATCTGATCTGTTAAAAAGTCGGAGACTGTAAGCGTTGTCAGTATTGTTAATGAATTGCTCGTGTATTAAATGGCTTAATGTCTGAGTTGATTGGTTCCACTGGACGAGGTCCTTTCGCCAGAGAGTTATTTGAGAGTGGGAATATAGATGCATTATGAGAAGCATTGCGGGTCTCGGATTCACTTTCTCGATTATCGGTTTGCCTGCTTTCATTGAGTTTTTGTAGGAAAGGATGAAGCGAACTAGTGATGAGAATTATTGCGATTCGTCTAAAAAGGTGATTTGCGAAAGATTTCCATCGGCGGATGTGATTCCGAATAGCACAAAAAAAATACGGATAGGTTTGCTTTTCCTCGATTTATTTGTTTATTAAATCCGTTTTGTTGTTTATGAATGAATGAAAATGAAAAAAGTGCACTTTAGCTGTGGCTGGCTGCTCTCATGGACAAATGGATAAAATTTATGCAACTCTTGCTGCGGTCGAACGGAAAAATCGATATAAATTTGACTTATTGATTTGCTGTGGCGATTATCAGGTAAAATTATTATTAACGTTGTTCAATATGTGAATTAAAAGATGCATTTAAAGAACTGATTAAGAAATTAAAGTAAATTCGAGCAAAAATTTACGTTAAGCGCTCACGATTTCGCTCTTTTTGTCTGTTCATTCGCCATTATTGATTGAACTGGTTATAGTAATTATAGTTATTATTACAGTAATTACACTAATTATTTGGATGAGTCTTTCTCGCTGTAAGTTTATGTGAAAATACCCAAGGGTCACCTCAATTCAATTTTTAATGTCAGATTTGCTCCTTTCAAGCAGCACAGTTGGTAATAAGAATTGATAGCAGTCATTCGGCTTTAATTGCTTACAATTAGATTATGCAGTTTATTTTCAGTCTTATGGAATTCACTTCATATTTTTAATTAAGACAATAAGGTAGATGATAAGTTTGCTTTTGGTGCTGACAGTTTTTGAATATTAATCCCCAGTTTAATTTTCATCAGCCTCTAGGTTCATTTTTCTATTTTCACTGAAAAAATTTGCATTGTGTCGAAATATCAAGAGTAAGCCAGCCTGACAGAGTCAAAAATACATTTTAATCGGCTATTATTTAATTAATTAATTTCCTTATTGATGTTTTTTTTAAATTGTTGTGGTTAATCAAGTTCATTTTTTCATTTTTTTCTGTTATAAATTGTATATTCTATTCACTTGCAGGCAGTGAGAAATTATGGTGATTTAAAGCATATGCATATAAAGGAGAAATATCGGGCTTTAAATTCGTTTTATCGATATTACTCGGCTGAAGTGGTAATCAAATTTTTGCCTGCTTTCATTGAGTTACCTCTGTTATATGTTTTAGTTTATAGAATAGGAATTTTTTCCATCATTTTTCATATTTAGATAAGTATGGTTTGAAAAAGATTTTTCAGGAAGCTCCAGTTTTAACTATTTTTGTCGGCGGAAATCATGAGGCGTCTGGGTTTTTGCAAGAATTGCCAAATGGTGGTTGGGTTGCACCAAAGATTTATTATATGGGTCATGCTTCAGTTTTAAATTTTGCTGGTCTTCGAATTGCTGGATTGTCTGGAATTTATAATAAATACCACTTTGATCTTGGTTCTCTCTAAATATTCATTTTATTTGCAAAAATATATGAAAATATCGAAGATCCTTAACCATATTGTTACGAATATTTTTCGTCAATTTTAGGTCACTATGAATGTCCTCCTTTTGATAATTATGGAGATCTAATTTCAATTTACCATGTGCGCTCCGTAGATTTGTTTCGACTAAAACAGCTTAGAGATCCAGATGGATTTTGTGGTCAGTCCTTGTATTTACTCATCACTTCTTGATCCTGACGTTCATTCTTGATATATTTCAGGGAAACAACTGGACATGTTTGTATCTCACGATTGGCCTGCAGGTATAGTGGATTATGGTGATAAAGAAAAACTTCTCACACTGAAACCTTATTTTGAAGAAGATATTAACAGAAATAATCTTGGAAATCCAGCTTCAATGTCTCTGTTATATGTTGGTTAATATAATTGTTAATCCCTGTAATTTGGCAGATTCAAAACTCTTTTTGACATTTTCAAATTACAGGAAGCTTCGCATACATAAACCGGTACCCTTTTAGGATTAATCAAATTTCCATTAGGAGAATTGAGAACATTGTTTTGCCACAAGCCTTAAGCTTTAGCTCTTTTGCAGTCTTGGGTGAGGAAATTTTGAAAATAGTTATTGCTGATATTCGCAAATAGTTACCTTTATTTATTTGATTTCCTTCTATTTGCTTTCCTTTCATCTTTCATTGAGCCCTATTTAAGAAATAATAAAAATGATTCAAATAATAGATATTTTAACTTATTCACTTAAGCGATTTTGCCTCTACTTTTTCTCTTGTTTCAGTTTTTAAATTTGTTTTGAATTTTTTATAGTTTTAAACTTTATTTATTTATATTTTATTTATTGGGTCTTACTAAAAGTTCTTGTAGTTTTGTGTTGTTTATTTTATAGGATCATTGCTATATTAAAAATCAATACTTTTGCCAATCCAAAGCAAGTGCATTTATTTAATTTATACTGAAAGATGGTTCCTAAATGTTTATGAAAATGTTTCTGTTAATAGAATGGGAGAAATATAAATCTACTGGCGAAAGGTCTAGGGAATATGTAGAAGGGGAAGATTCGATATTTATCTCTGAGAAATGGTTCTTGCGACTTGGCAAACAGAATCCATTTTCATATTATTTATAGATAAAAATTCCAGAAAAGGATATCTTTGCGGCGAATAATGTACTCATTCAATTCTTCAAATACCCATTTGTCGAGCTTCTTCCCTATTGCGCTTAGGTAATTCCACACGATATATGAAATCCACACGATAAGCTATTTTTCTAAATCTTGTCTGCATTCTCTATCAGTCTAAATCTCCATTATTTCCTTCAAGGAACGGTAAAGAAATTGAGAATCATACGCAGTATGACAAATCTTCAAGATCCATATCTCAATAACTGATCTTGGCGGACCAGTCTTGTGTTTTGTTCTATTTAAATGCATCATCACCAAAAGTTATTTGCATATTGCGAACTGCTTCTGTCGCTCCAATCAGTCCCAAAACTGGAAAATCATACCGTTGCATGTCAAATTTTTTCGAAAAGAAACTAATGATCAGAATTTATGAGGTATGAGTAAGTATGGCATAAAAACTTCTAGCTACGAATTCAAGCGCGAAAAAATAGCAAGAGCTTTTAGGATTCCCCAATATTCAGTTCCATTCGTTTGTACTTGTTAAATGTAATTGTCATTCAAGGATTTACGACCTCGATATTGGTTAGCGGCTCATTTACATTGTAAATTCGCTGCACTGGTATCCCATCAAGACAAAATTAATGATGGTAAGAATTTGGAACCAACACGTTTTCTTTCTCTGGATAAACCTATCCGAGGACGTCATTTTCTGCAGGTAAAACTATTTTATATCGTTCTTTGTGATTTATTTTTTGGCTGTGTCATTCACGAGCCATTGGTGTAGTTTCTATATGGTTTTTCCTTTCTTAGGTTTTCCAGTTTATTTTTATGGTATTCTGGAACTGTGGGAAGGAGAAATTAATTGGCTGGATTTTCTTAATCAAGCGTACAATTAAATGATAAAAGAGTGTTTTTACTACAAAAATTGATATAAAATGTAACTTAGATAATTTTATTTAAAAATTTAATTCTTAATCAATTAATCAAAATTTATAAATCTTGGGGGCAGTGGTACAGATGGATTTTCAGCAGCCACCTAGATTTCACTTTTAATGACAGGGATTACCTCATCAAAAGAATGCGATCAAATTTAATGACAGGGATTACCTCATCAAAAGAATGCGATCAAATTTACCTCGGCTAAAGTCGAGTCATCTACGAAGTTACCTTTTATTTTTCATCCTCTAAACCAATTTTAGTCGTTGGAATTCGATGTTGATATTAATTCAGAGATGGCGTTATCGTATGATCCAATATGGCTTGCAATATTGCGATCAACTGATAAACTGACTAGTATTTGCAGAACTGTAAGAAAATTCTTGTACTAATTTTTTCTGGGTTATTGCGGTTTAAGAAAATAAATTTTTGAATTGAATAAAGTTTTTTCAGCAAGTTTATATGCCCTCGCATCATATAAAAGATGAACGCTGGGATTTTCGACCAACGGAAGAGGAAATTGAAGACGTAAAACGAATATTTAAAAGCAATTTTAAGATCCCTGAAAATTTTCGGCGAACGGCTAAGCCACATGTTCCTGGGCAAGATGAAAACTGCGGTGCCGAACTTTATTATAGGTGCCTAAAAAGTCTATATTTAATAATTGTAACCTTGAAAAAATAGATCTTTTATATATCAGGTAATCGTGATTTACAGAAATCCACAATCCAGCGAATTCTGCCGAAAATTAGGCATCAGCGATCTGAATGAAATGTTATGTCATCTTTCAGTTGCATCCCTTGGGCTTCCACACTATTTGTCCGAAAGTGAAATATGTTCAGAAAGGAGCGAAAAAATTTTAATAGATGTTGAAACTGATTCGGAATTTTAGTAAGTTATTTGTTATTTATTCTTATGAAAATTTTTGTGTAAAAAGTCTTTGAAAATAAAGAATTCATCGGAATTATTTTCTAATAATCTTATTAATCTTATAACATTTTGTCATAATGATAATCATTTCTATAATCCATTTTACGGATGAAGCGGATGGGGATTTCTTCATAGACAAAGCACCTTTTGATAATGTTTATGAACCATGAAGTTAAATCATGAAATTTGATAAGGATAAAAATCTCTCAACAAAAGGTTAAGATTTGATTTTTGAAAGTTATTTTATTTTATTTTATTTAAGTTATTTTATTATAAAAAGTTCTATGATCTGGAATTTTATGAAAAATTATTTTTATCGATTGACTAGTAAATAAACCAGTTTTCTATATATTATATATATATTCCCATTAGTTGAGCCGGAATAGGGTAGTGATTAAGACGGACGATTCGACTGGAATGTAAAAACGATTCGAACTGCAGTTAATCTTCTTTTCCTTGCGGTCCTTGGACAAGACCATCTGAAAGCTCATTTGCGTAATCTTAATCTCCCAGACCTTTGGTAGAGGATCCGAGATTAAAGACCATATCATTTATAGGGGATGCGAGAAAGTGCTTGCGATATTTTTATCCTTAATTTTGAAAATTATTTTGATTATATTGATTATTGATTTAGACGGTTTGGGGCAGTAATTTACGTTCGATTTCTGGTTGGAAAGTTACGGAAGGAAATTTTTTTTTTTTGCTGTTTTTAAAGCCAGTTAGTGGTTAATCGAATGGTATCTACTATTTTGTTTGTATTTCTAGCTCATATCATTTGGTTCGCTTCATTGGTAACTATGGTAACTACAATAAAAAACCCCCATTCAATGCTATTCCTAAAAATAACTGAAGCATTTCCTACCCTGTAAATGCCGAGCCATAAGCATTCGAAATCTCCATTTCCATATCGTGTCTGTTCAAGTTTTCATTGGTGCTCCACATTTTTGGCGCTAGCCTTCGTAGAGTTTAATAAGTAGCGAAATATGTGTCAGTCCCTTTCATGGACGACAAAAAACATGGCCTAACCAGTGCAGGCGATAACAATATTCTAACAGTATTTGAATGAAGGTGGATGAAATCTTGGCGAGTATCAAAGACGTAAGAATGGTCGAGGTCACTTTTTGATATCTCCTATTTGGTATCTTTTCTACGTCTGCCATATCAGATGAAAGTTTTCTATCATATCGATTGAAATGCCATTTTGCTGAGTTAATTTCTCTTAAATCTACGTCTCTCGCAACTATCAAAGGGGACATATAATCAGCTTATTAAAATTTCGTAATAAAATGGTCTGAAGCTAGCGTTCTTAAGCAAATATGTCTCATAGTTGAAAATTGTAGGATGCGGTCTTGGCATTCTGTATTCGGAAGATCAATTGTCCATATGCATATCTGCTGCGATTTTCGCCAAAAATATGTTTTAATGGTTGTTGCCAATAAACCCATATCCATTTGCTAGATTCCTCGAGTAAATCATTAGAAATGAAATTAAAATACAATGCTAATACAAAGAGCTCGTTATGAATTCATATTTAATGTTCAGCCAAAATAGGAATGAGGAATTTTGTCAGAAGCATATACCGTCGTTTATACAATAATCTTGATGTTATTATACAATAAAAATAATCCTATAAATTTAATCTGAGAATTGGGGATAGAATGGCCCAATGGGTTGTTGCTCAGTTGGGAACGCCGATGCTGAAGTTCGATTCGCCGCAGGAGTAAACCTGTACAAAAATCCGGGCAATGCTGGCGACTCGCCTGTATCTCTATCGTCAAGGGACTCCTTGGTTTATTGTCCAATGCGACAAGCCAGTGGAGCGAGCCTAACCAGTAATGGTAATGACTCTTTAAAAAAAAAAAATTCTGGGAATTGAAGACTTAAATCAAGTCTTCATAGAGTGCGAAATAGTGGAGTGATTATTGTTTAAATTATCGTTGCGAGTATTATGGTTTGAATTGAGTAAATCTCTTCTTAAAAAAATCTGGGTACTATTATATACTACTATTATTAAAAATCTATGTTTCAATCCACAGATTTCCTGGCAAAATTTTCATCGTACCAAGGACCAATGGAGCGACTTCAACCACTCACTTACTTAGTTATTTGTTCTTAGTAAATATGAGTTTTCTGCTGAAAAGTTAATTTATATCCGTCCATTTCCGTGACAACTCTTAAACACTTTGTTTGAGGTGAATGATGAAACTAAAAAATATGATTTCTTTATGTGTTTGATGATAAATAATAATTTACCTAGAAGTGTAAATAATAATTTACCTAGAAGTGTAAATAATAATTTACCTAAATTTATTCACTCTGTCTTATTTCAAGAGTGAATTAAATAAATTATTTATCTTCGTTCATTTATAATTTTCATAAATATTTCTTTCGCATTATTCTTATTCTATTCTTTTACTTTTTGTTATATTGTTTATCGTTTCTGATGCACGCTTTTTTTTCCCTGCTTATACTATTTCTTTATAAACATGAACATTTGAAAGATCTATATAAATCAGTGAACCAGTTTCCCACATGGTCTTTGGATAGTCGTTGTAAAATCATACACATATGACAGATCCAACCAAAGAAAAATCAGTGGGTTTTAATGTAACGATTGCGAAATATTCATTCACCTGGCTGCAGCAACTAAGATTTAAGCGACTACAGCTTGTTTCCGTATCAAAGAAAAGTTTAAGCTTTAACAAAAAAAGCTGGTAAATTTCTTTTTTTTAAAATCATAATAAAACGCGATAGATTAGATTAAAAATAGGGATGAAGATCTGTTTTTTATTAAGTTAAGAAAATATAAAATATTTGAAAAAATATTGTAAAATAGTACCAATTTTTTTGTTTTGAAAAAATCATCCTTGCCAAAAAATGTTATTTGATGTAAAACCTTATTCACATTAAAAAATATAATTAAATGGTTTTTAACATTTCAGTTTTAATTTAAAATACGGTAAATATTGGCACAAAGAAAAGCCTTTAGGGAGTTAAAATGTACAGATGGCTGAGCAAAAAGTTCTAAAACTAATCAAAATAGAATTAAAATATAATATAGTCCGTAGTAAATATTGTGGATAATTCTTTTTTAATTTGTTTGGAACCATTAAGTATAGAAATGATATTTAATGCTAAAAATTTGCAAAAGTTTTTTTGTTAAAATGTATTTGCATTTGTCCCTGAGAAATTGTTAAATTTTCATGAAGTTTATATACTAATACTACCTTTTCGAAAATCGGTTTTGCCAATAATCAAATTCAAAGCTACAGATCTGCCTAGACGCGCAAGTTCCACTGCCTTGGCAAAATGTTCTTCAAGGCGTTCTTCGTCGCTCTTCGTTATCATTTCTCCGATTGCTCCCATAGCAGCAGCTATCTGGTCATATCGAGTGTGCTAGAAACAAACAAAGCAGAAACTGTTGAAACAAATACTGGTTTAATCTCTTTTAAACTTAAAATAAAAACTTACAATCAGATTTACTGCAACTGAACTGTTTAAAATTGGTATTTGTTCTCTAGCGATTTGTGACCAACAAGCATCATTTCCGATTATAGCAATAATTGACAATTTGTGGCGATAATACGTGTCAAATTCCATCAGTGAAAACCCACATGAACCATCTCCATAAATAATTATCACTGGTTTATCCGGATAAACCTAAATATATTATAAAAATAGCTTTGCATGGGTAACATCCTGAAGAATCATGAAATGAACTAACACGTTTAGCGCCTATAGCAAAGCCAGCACCTACTCCAAGGGTGCCAAAGACTCCTGGGTCCAACCACTGAAGAGGTCCTCTAGGACGAACTATATATGCAGCAGTACCGACAAAATCACCGCCATCAGCTATTAAAATAGCGTCATCAGGAAGAGACTGAAAGTAACAAAAATTTTCATCCGAACAAAAATTGCTAATTCTAAAAATTAATTCGTTAAGGAGATGAACGAACCCTATCTAATGCTGTTAGAACCCGTAAAGGATTCAATTCACCACCTGCAAATGGTTTTTGAGCTTGAGTTTCGTTATAAAGAGTGGTTTCTTTCTCTCTGATCATAAGACTGTCCAACCATTTTTTCCATTTCTCCTGAAATTTTTTTCTTTAACAACATGCATTTTTGGTTTCTACTAGAAGTGATTTAAGGACAGAGTTGCCAATGGATCCTCCGTTATCCTGGCCTCACTTAATGGTAAAACAAGAATCCAAACTTAATGGTAAAACAAGAATCCAACCCATGATCTCAGCAAATACATGTTCTCATCAAATCACTATGCCCGTCATTATCATTAATGAAAGCCATTTGTTACATCTTTTAAGTATTGGTTCACTACTATTGATTTGGCTGATCTTGCCGGCGATTAGAATAAGACATTTCCAAACCTCTCATATTTAATAATAGTACATCAAAGTATTTTAATATTTATACTGGTTGTTGATCAAAGATGGATGATTTTCGCCTATACATATTTTCAAGACAAAAATTCACAGAGAATTCCTGAGAATCTAACGCTTGTGCTGTTGCCACTAAAGTTGATGCAACATCAGCCTGAATGAATAAATGGCCATTCCAAAAAATGCCTCTGTTTTTCGTCAATTGAGAGTAATTCCGATTTATTACTATAATTTTTGCTTTTCGAGACAGTGCACGTCCATATGAAAGCCGGAAGTCGCAAACTGCACCTAAAAAAATAAATTAATCAATAAAACAGAAAAGAACTGAGTTTTACTAATAACAAGTAGTATGCTAACCTGCAAGTATTATGATGTCAGCATTTTTCAGAACTTCTTTTCTATTGTGTCTCAACTGCAATGCGCTATTTCTTCCCAGTAATCCTCGAGTAGTTCCAGTTAAATACATAGGTATTTTTAGCTTCTAAAATTTCTTTTATAAATGACAAAAGCTAATGGTGGTAATGTTTGGCTGAAAGCATTCGATTTTTATCATCTGAAAAAATTTTCAGCAAAAAATGAAATTCAAAAATTGACTCATGATGTAAAAAATATGTTTAATTGTTTATAGTGAATTATTCAACTAGATAGGACTGGGTGCATTGTATAAGCTTTATAAGCTTTAAACTTATATAAACTTTTTTTTTTAAAAGTCCTCACCATTACTAGTTAAACTCGCTTCACATTGAGCAATATGCCATCAAGCCCCTTGGCGATAGAAATACAGGCTTCGCCAAATGGTGAAAAAAGCTGTAAATATGAGCAAGTCATCCGGATTCCCGCCCATCTTAAATTAAATATAAGCTCTCAAAAGATCATTTTTGATCATTTTGTGCTTCTATTAGGGGAAATGAGTGTGGAAGCGCTCGGTGAACGATGGGCATTTGCATCTTATATTTGATTATTTGATTTTTTACTGTATTATTACCTTCTAGTAGCACGATTGTTTCGCTTTACTTTCTTATAATATATTTGCGTCTTCACTAATAAAGGTTTAATTACCCAAGTTTGAAGGTTCGCAACGAGAAAAGTAAGAAGAGAATGCTGGCCGCAGAGCTTATAATATTATTAAAAAATAAAAGTGCCGCGTGACAGGAAAATTAAATCTATACAGAAAAAATATAGTGGAGCGGATTCCCAAAAGGAATTTTTGTAAAGGTAATTATTGGAAGAGGAATCGCCGTGCTCTCAACGGAATTTTCGTAGTGCTATATACCTTTTTTCAGTACAACAGGTGAGTCACTAGTATCGGATTTTTGGACAGGTTTACTTCGAACCTCAGCACTGGCACTCCCAATCGAGTAACAACTCACTGGGCCATTCTATCCCCGATGTACGACATCGTATAAACAATGTACGACATTGCAAAGCATCCTAGTGGTCATTATAGTTGACAGAATAAAAAGTGCTGTTAAAAAAAGAAAACAATGATATTAAAATAAAAAAAACTTTGCAGAGTAAAAAATAAAAATATCGAGAAAATAAATTGGTAATTTACTTCAACGGCTTTGATTAAAACAGCTGGTTTAACCGGCGGTGTAATAGCCTGACTTCCGAGGATTAATAATGGTCTTTGTGATTCCTTAATAATTTTCGACAACTCTTCTATTTCTGATTCACTTGGAAGAGGTGTGCGAACTGGTAAAGGTGTTACATCGCGCTCTCTCCATCCATTACCAAAACGATGTGCAAGGTTTATTGCTAAGTATGTGTTGATTATGCTCTTAAAATTGAGGAAATGAATATTTGATGGATGAATATTTGAATATTGAATATTTGATTGAAATATAAGCAGTAAGTATAAAAGAAAAAAAAAAGAAATCGACAGTGTTCGACCTGTTTTATTGTTTTGCTTTCTTTAATAAAATTCATTTCTTTCGTCACTATATTATATGGATAAATAACATCGACGGGAAATTCAAGAAAAACAGGACCAGGCGTATCACTTTGAGCGATACAGATTGCTTGTTTTAAAGTAGGTATGATATCCTTTAGTCTCGTTATTCGTGCACAAAATTTACATGCAGATCGAACCAAAGCAATTTGATCAATATCCTGAAGATTAAAGATAAAATTAAAGATCAATAAGATAAGATTAAAGATAAGATAATTAATAAGACAATATCACTATATTGTTTTAAACTGGCCAACTGATTCGAAATGGTATAAATACCATAGACGAATACTTCAGTTTCAAATATTTCAAACAAAATTATGTTAGCAAAATATAAAATATAGTGATATTAGTAGAAATAAAACAATTTGATTGTAAATAAAGGCATGCCAAATTACTTTTAGGAATACCTGAAGTGCTCCCCTATTTCTTAAAAGTGTTGGGGCAGCACCGCAAAGAAGTACCACTGGTGATTCGGCCATATGAGCATTTTTCAACGCTGTTATAGCATTAGTCAGCCCTAAAGACATATTTGGAATAGCACATCGATTTACAAAATTGATTTCAGATTTCATTTGAGAAGTTATCTGGAAAATTAATATATGGAACCAAACAGCTAATAATAAAAAAATAAACCTGGTCCAGCAGTTACAACAGTCACTCCAATACTTTGTCGAAGTCTCGCAACTGCATCTGCAGCAAATACAGCTGTAGCTTCATGTCGAGTATCAAACACATCAATGCCAATATTTTCAATCGCAACGAGTATTGGCGATATATGACCACCACATAATGTAAACACTTCCCTTACTCCATGTGCCTTAAAAATAAAAAAATCAAAGTTATCCTAAAGCAAGAATTATTAAGAAAGGAAAACTGAGACTAATAGGAAAAATGACTGTTAAATATTTTAAAAAGTTGAATAAAAATTCAACTTGTGGAGGAAATTCACTCGTAAGGAAAACCTTTAAAACAGCTGCAACCAAGTTTCCTCCATGGATTTTCGACTTTTCATCGACCTGAAAGAACATTATCAGTTTTTAAAACCAAAGAAGAAAGCAAATAAATTAAGGAATAATTTTTTCTTGCGAGCAAAATCCATTATGAGAAGTATTCAGAAAATGGTATTCCACAAATCATCAACTCACCAATGCACCATTCAAGCCATAAAAACTTTAAATAAATTATTATGAATTAAAAAAACTCAAGTAGTAACCTTATCAGTTAAAAGATTAATATAGAATGAAATAAAACCGTTCACGGATCTCAACTTTTTACCTTTTCATTAAAGGTCCTTGGGCCTTTATCCGTCTTACCTCAATCTCCCAGGCCTCCGGCAGATGACTTGAAGTTAACCTAAACCATCCACAAAGGATGTGTCGCCGAAAGGCAAAGAAAGCTGCAAATATGAGTAGGTCATCCGCACAGCACCTGCTATGCATCTCTTTTCCAGCAAGAGAATTAGTGAAATAAGGGAAAAAAGACTTGGGGAAGATATTAGAAAATATCACGGAACAATAGTAGAATACCTCCTAAGTGAAAGGTACAATAGCTTTTATTATGAGAGAATTAAGAACCACAATTTTCTCTCTCCTCATCTCAAATTAAATATAAATTCCCAAGGCATCATTTTTGGCCATTTCAGGCTTCTGTTGGGAAAATAGGTGGAGGGAGGAACTGGGCATTTATATATTTTTATGTTCGGTTATTTATTATGTTACTATGTTTTTTTTCTTTCTAATAGGATTTGACAATGTTTTAGGAATTGTTCTGTTTATATTAAATAAAAGGTTTAATTACACAAGTTCGAGGGTTCGCAATAAGATAATTAAGAATGGAATGCTGGCTGCAGAATTAATAATATTGTTGAGAAATAAAACTTCCGCTTGGCAGGAAATTTATTAAATCTATATTGAAAAACACAGCGGATTCCCGAACGAATTTTGTAAAGCTAGAAACTGGAAGTGGGAATCGCCGTGCTTCCACCAAAAATCGTGTACCTAAGTTTTCTGTGCAGGATGAAAATTATTCATTTATAAAAACATTACTTGGAACAAACTGGACCAACAGTTTTGTTCTCTTTTGTAAAACAAATCAGAAATAATTCGCTTAATATCGTCGAAGCTTTCGATATCCAAAATTCGTAATATAGCAAAAATTATTGCAAATAAAATTAAGGAAATGAAAATCATTTATCTGGAAATAAATTAAAGACAAAATTTCATCGAACAGGACTGCTAGTATGGAAAAACTTCATATTGCCGATGTAGCCAATGGAGTTAGCCAAACAAAAAGCACATTATTTTAAAAGACAAACAAGCACCCGAGCAGCTTTACGATTCTGTTTTACAAGTTTAGTTCATAGGCCCAACTATCCACATTTCCAGAAACTCAAAGGACAATAAATGCACCGAATTTTAACAAACCGTTCAAGCAAATCACTTAATTGAATAAATCAACGAAATCAACGAATTGTAAAACATTTTAAAACGATAAATTATTCTTCACTATCCACACTGACGGTTGTTAAAAGTGGTAAAAGGTACATGGATAACTAAAGCATAAAGTAGACGAGGAGAATCACCATTGTCTTGACAGGCGAACTCGAACATTTGATCCTCAATAAGCCTCAATCTGTTTCTGCTTAGGACATTCATGATCTTCTTGCATTGAGGGCTGATATCAAATATTGACACAATTAGAAACTTAATCTCTGAAGAAAGGCTGAATTATCCAAGTAGTGGAATAAAAAAAAAGGTATTTGCAGTTGGGAGCCCCTCACTAATAAAAAAATGGCTCACTGAACCACTTTACATCTACCTACGAATTTCCTGCATTATATTTCACAAAATTTCCGATCTCATAAAAAAATTTCAGACCTTATAAAAGGAAAATATTCTTCTAACTAATTTCTAACAAGAATATTTATATAAAAAACCAGGAACTATTATTAAGATCATGCAAATTCAAACAATAAAAGCTTTTAGTCTATTTAAACTATAATTAAATCGACATTAAAAACCTAAAAAATCGACACATTGGTGGCTTCAAATTTCATATTTTCAACAAAACAGTAAAAAAAATTTATCTTATTTTAAACAAAAATATTTCAGAAATAAAACGACAAATTATTCTTCACTATCAACATTAACGGTTGTCAATTTTTTAAAAGTGGTAACAGGTACATGGCTAACTAAAGTATAAAGTCGATGAGGAGAATCTTCGTCATCGTTGCGACGTCTTGATAGGCGAACTCGAACACGAAATGGTACATTCCTTGAAAAATAAAAAATTCTATATTTTACAGCTTTGACGACAATTAAAATTAATTAAATTAAATTTAAGTTTGATTGTAAAAATAAAGAAACGATTAAGGAAATTTGCTTTAAATAGAGAAAAAAGAATCAAAATACTAGAATTAAAAGATTTTGAAAATTAATGGCACAATAAAAAAAAATTACTTTACTCCTCTAGACCAAATGAATTTGTTCAACCTTGTATCCACGCGTACATCCTTCGTTCCCATTTGTTGTTCAGCAAATTTCCGTAATTCTTTGATAGCTCTAGGGGCACGCTTCTTAAATCCTCTGGCAAAAAAAAATAATTCAGACAGAATAAATAAAAAGGGAAAATAATCGAACACTATGTTTCTTTAACTGGGCTCAACCACAATAGGTTTGATTTTATAAATTATATGTTTAAAAAATAAATGTGAAAGGGTTTTATGAAAACCAAATTTAAAACGCATATGCATAAGATATCTTTGAGCATAAAATGGTCATATCATAACTCATTAAAAGTGAAATCCAGCCATGGTGAATCAACTATTTTTTCTTATCAAAGAACTTTTTGGCGAAAGGATCTTATTCCAGATGTCAGTGAAGCCACGCAAACCAGAAACGGTTAGAAGTAGAGCAATCACGTGCAATCAAGCACAAAATTATGAAAAAAGAACAAAAATTTGTCGTAAAAATATGGGACTTTTCTCATCCAATGTTTTATTTTATTATTAAATTTAAATAATGTTATTTAGCTTTTAAAAAAACGAAAAATGAGTGAGGTATGTGAAACCCAATTCTTTTTCTCTTCTCTCATCTCTTCCTTAACTAAAATTAAAGATTTGCATGGTTTCATGGCTTTTTTTCGAACGCTGAAAGAATTTTGAACTTCGGGTTTCTGAACTATTTCGAATTAAATGAAATTTTACCAAAAACTAAATTGGCATTGTCAAAACTGAATAAAATATTATAAAGAAAGATTATCATAAAGAAATTATAATGAGGAAATTATAATATTGAAATGGAAAAAAGAATCATTTCCCAATGAGCGGTGATGCAAAAAAATAAAATTACTTGTTGACGAAATTAAATTCTTACATTCCATGAATTCGTTTATGAAGATTTATAGTATATTCGCGCGTAACGACTTCACTCATTGCACTACGAGATTTTCGCTCTTGTTTACTTCCTTTTTTTATTGGTGCCATTTTAAAAACTGCCTGAAATCACGATGACAAAGCCTTAAATGAAAATTAAGAAGGAATTTCTCCCTTCCCATCGGGTTATATTGTTGCCTTTACCTTTCTCCTCTTCCCATTCCACTTTTTCTTCCAGTTCACCAACCATTTGTTTCTTTTCGTCCTTTCCCTCTTTTATTTCCTCACTCCTTTCCTATGCTTCCTTGCTTTGGTTATTCCTCCCCATCCCAAAACGGTTTCTGTAACCAACCCACTCTCCTCCTCCTCCCTCACCCCCCCCCCCTTCTCTGCCTCACTTTTAACCATTATTTATTGTTCTCCACAATAAAGCAAAATTTGTCCCCAAAAAAGCTTTTGCTATAGAAAACTAACAATCGTTTAGAAATTTGGGAATACATATTTTGCAGCTCTCTAATATTCTGATTAGTCATCGCTCGAAAATTTTTTATTTGTTGTCTAAATTCAATGGATTGTTTTTGTCCTTCAATATTTTTTTTACATTCGGTGCAAGAATAAAGTTCTGAAGTTCCCCCGCACCCCCATTCTCCCTCTCTTACCTGTTAGTTGCTATTTCTAAAATAACCAGTGTTTTTTACCACTTTTTGCACCGCCTTTTCCCTCAAAATCTTTCCTGAACCAGACTTGACTGGACTCCCTCTGTTGAGATTATCCATCATTGTCCTACGGACATGCAACATGCATCGGTTTCTGCGGTGTGCGGTGATGAGCGTAATAGCATAGGCGATATTTTGTGACTGTGTTATTAATACATATTGTAATGGAATGAAGGTGGATGCGGCAGGAACAAGGTGGAGTTGTGAGATTCTGAAACTCGATTGGTATGCGTTAGGAATATTCAGACATCTTCCTTCTGATAGGCCGAATGGCCGAATAGTATGGATGCTTTGGTTCGCATCCAGTGTCGCAGGCGGATTCGATATTGTGCGCCGACAGCAGTAGAGCCGTCCTTCGAGAATGCACGTGCTGCTGGCTGCTTGTTTACTTACGCTTTTACGCTTCCGTCGCTAGTTGAGCCCATGGCAAAAGTTTATTTCTAACTATGGTTACCAGAAATAGCGGTGATGGTGAATATTAACTCTTTTCTTTTTCATATTTTATGTTTTTTACCCACATAGTTTGAATTTTCTTTTTGATGTTGGTTTCTGCTAAAATTTCGCTGGTAAAAAAGCTGCAGCTGTTCGAGGTGGGGTGGATTTTAATTTATTATTTGGCCATTTGATAGATAGCAGTGGACTAAAGATATTTGAAAAATCAACATTCAATCTTTGATACATTATGACTATCAGCGAATTTGTCCTTATTACATTCGCGCAGGTCCAATTTATCGACAGGCGATCTGTTGTATTTCGCCACTGTCAGCAAAAACATCAGTGTGTTCAAGATTCATGTACATCTATTTTGTCTCACCTCTTAAGCCATAGCTTTCTTGAAATGCACTAGTTTTTATTTCGATATATTATTACATCCGTAGTTCTTACAGATCCGGGTTGCCAGTAAAATGCCTTAATAAGTCGATTGTTATTCTTTTTAAATAATCTTATCCTGAGAATCTTAACATCGTCCTATACGACCTTATGCAGCACCGCATTCTGAAATGAACAAATGGATGAAATGAAGGTAGCAACAGAGTTAAACAGTGGATTTTGATGGTATTTTAGTTGATATTGCTTTTTGGTAATGATTCTTAGCGCGAATGCTTGGTCACATCCATTTTTCAGCCTTTTCGGTATATATTCGGTGCAGAATTCTTCCCAGAGATATCCAGTAGGCCAGTTCCATAGTGTCCTTTCATCTTTTTAAGGGAATTAACAAGAAGGCAGACTGTTTAATAGTTATATTATGTGAATTTTATAAATCCTTTAAAGGCGCAAAGGAGCTCGGAGAGATCTACGATTTTTTCTCATAGTTTTGTTGTCCTAAACCTTCTGAATAGTGAAAAAAAAAAATTTATTTCATGTTATGTTGGCTGCTTTCATATGGGGTAGTAATAGCTTAAAAGCGTTTTAGTTACGTCTGCGATGTTGGCGCATCAGTTTAGTTTCAGGCAACTCTTCATCCGGATCCACGATCTTTAAAAGTGTTAACAAATATTCTGTCTTAATCTGGAATGATATCCGTTAGACTATTGAACTGTATAATTCATCTTGAAACGTCTTCGAATTTTTCGAATATTTGGGGATCTGCGTTGGCATCTTTATGTCTAACTTTGTATGTATCTTGAGACATGGTCTGATCTGTAAAAATTGCCAGTTTCAGAACTGTTATGATTTGACCGGCTTTTTTGAGTGGCGATTATTCTGAGAGTCCCTTGTCTTACTCGGCACTTGTACTGGTGGCAAAAAGTTTATACTCCTTAATGGAGTGAAAAAGTTACTGTCTTTGACATCAGATTTCGATGCCATACTTGCTAATTACAGAATGTGGCTACGTTTAATATTGCATTTAACATTTCAATCTTGCCTAGTTATGACTAATTTTGGTAGAAATTCTGATAGCAAGTGGAGTTCCGCATAAAATCTGTGTTAAGACTTGCCAAGGTGAGGTTAGGTGAGGTGAGGTTTCATCCCCATATTGAATAAGCATTGCAGAATTCTTTTAGAGGGTGAGTGTAGGTTATATGGTAGTCAAAAAGCTTGCATATGACCAGAGTTGGCCGAGCCGTTTTAGAATGCTAATCGTGACCCAGTATCGTCCTGAATTATCTGAACAACTGAGACACGCTTCTAAAGACAGGGAAAAAATAGAAAAAAGAAATATACTCGAACAAAATGTTTGTCATTTGGTCCTAATGTCGACAAATTCTACGTAGCTACGACAGTATGCAAATGAACCGTTTGTGCGATTTTGTTTTAGATTCGCAGCCGTTTTATTTATTAATTATGTTTATGTCGACAAATATATATTTAATATATGATTAGTTTCAAGATAAACTCTTGGGGGAACCACTTGTCAAAACGAATTGTAGAACTTTTTACTTACGAAATTTTAGAATTATCATGGAATAACCAATTTAATTAATATAATGAATAATTCCCATATAATTTAGAAATATATGAATGAATAATAGTAAAAGTAATAATAATAACAATAATGGTGCGAGCAAATACGTTATTTCGCATTCTGCAATGCCATCGTTTTGGTCAATAAAAAACATTCGCACACAAATTGCAATTCTTCTGGCGGCAGCATTATGTATTGAAGGACTTATGAGAACAAATCTCAATATGGCTATGGTTTGTATGGTTAATCGAACAGCACTTCTGCAATTAAAAAGTTAAAAAGTTTAAAAAGTTCTTTCTCCTTTTCTTTTAGTAATGGTTGTGTTAGCCAATTTCGACGAACCAAACCATTCTATGCATAATGCAAGCTTGCATTTCTGTTCAAATTTTCTACTTTGAAACGTCCGAAATGCATATTCTATCTAGGTGGTGACTATCAAGTTCGGGTAAATGAAGTAGGACCAGTGTTCCGATTAAAGATTTCGCCGCTAACATCCAGATCGAGGTGGTCCAAAGCCATTGCTCAGTCTTAATGAAGTGGTTTGAGGATATTATGACGTATTAAAAAATTAAAAATTATTAAGAAGTGAAATAACAGGACAATTTGTATGTGTATCAAGTTGCCCCTCGTGGCTTGAGGCAGTACGACTTTGTATAGCTTTTCCAACTATGCATCTGTGAAGTTTAAGGTCGAACATTGAATTACAAAGAGTAAAATTTTCATAAACACATTATTTCAGGCAAAGTTGAGTCACCGAAAAATACAACGACTGTTGTTAATCCTTGCCGAAAATTGCCAAGTGAAAGTAGGAAAGGATATGTAAGCTACCAGCTATTACCAGATGTTTGATAATTCAATAATAATGTAATGATAAGGAAGAATAAGAGAGGCGTCGGGTGCAAATCAAGATTATAACATTGAGGGATGTGATGTCGATAAAATAAGTTGTCACATTAAAAGGGATAGTCGAGAAAAAATGATTGCGACCTTTCCTCCGCACATATTGGTAAATAATTGGCTATGATTTCTGGGCTGCCTCCACTGGCTGTTAGTGTGATTTAAAATTTTTGCGGGCGAATCACTTGGCGATAGGAATATTCGGCACAATTCGATTTTTTCAATAGCAAGTTTAAACCATTAAAAATTAACAGTACCTCATTGAATACTAGAATAAAACATTTTGAAGCCTTCTGCTTCGGTGATTGCCAAGTATTATAGCATTCAAAATGATATCTTTTATTATCTTAAGCTTCACTTCCCAAAAAAATTTTTTTTTTAAATTTGCTTCCTACTGCCGGTTAAAAATGATTAAAATTTTTTCACATCGATTTTATTCTTCGTCATAATAATTTTATATATAATTTAGATCATAATAATTCTTTGGATAAATTTTTACGTAATTTTCTGCACTTTCAGTTATGTTTCTTTTAACTTGTTCATATAAAAGAAGCATTTTATCTGTAAAAACTGGTTTCACTGGTTTCAATTCATTTCAGATCAAATCAAGTTATTAATTCTTATGTAGAAACATTTTTCAGAGTGGTGAATTTATATGGACAAGTGAAGAACAAGGATGGATTTTTGCTGCTTTTTACGGTGGTAGTTTATTTATTGTAATACCCGGAAGTTAGTCTTTTTAATTCTTTAATTATTTTATATCGCTTCTTTTTTATTTTCAGATTTTTATCTTATTTTATCTTATTCATTGTTAAAAGAATAGCAAATGGATTTTCCAGTTCATCGATTATTGCATTTTCGAAAGATCAAACGAATTTTCTGTCGGATTATTGATTAAATTAGATATTTTAAATGAGCTTTAGAAGTCTATTTGTTTCATTTTAATTATAGGTTATTTGTGTGATTACTTTGGACCAACTTTAGTTGTTCAGTACGGATCAGTTACAAATATTATTGGTTCATTTATTACACCGGCTGTGTCAAAGTATGGTGGAGTTTATCCAATGATTATCGTTCGTTTCTTAATGGGCTGTGGTCAAGGCGTATTAGTTCCCTGTATGACGGTTCTTATTGCTCATTGGTTTCCAAAATCTGAAAAAAGCACAGCGATTGCTGTTGCAACTACAGGAAATCAGGTGATTTTTCCAATATTTATTTTTTCGTTATTTTTAATTTTTTTATCTTTTTGTTTATAGGATTAAATATGTTATGTTAATAATAATAATAATAATAATAATAATAATAATAATAATAATAATAATAATAATAATAATAATATGTTAATAATAATAATTAATAATAATATGTTAATAATAATAATAAATGAATCGAAAATATTTTATAAGTTCAGAAAATTTATAAAAATTTTTGAACATATGCTTTGTTTTACCGAAAAATTAATTATTTCTGCATTCATGGTTTAATCACTTAATCTTTTCATAAATCTTTTAAATAAACTTTGAGATATATTATCGTTTGAGGTATTTGTTTTAGCTTTCAATAATCCTTGCAATGTGTTTTACTGCTGAACTCTGCCAAATCCCATTGTTTGGTGGCTGGCCTTTGGCGTTTTATATATATGGTTAGTCTGAAATTGAATTAAATTTTATAGTAGGATGAAAAAAATTGCACAATTTCAAGCTAATTATAAATGAAAAAGAAGTAGTAGAAATATTAGCAATAATCGTGGTCATTCTTAATCATCGATTAATTATCGAAAATCGTCTAGACTGATTACGAAAATTTTTTAATTTTTATTTTTTAAAAATGAACTTTCTCTATATATTCGCACATAAAATATTCATAAATAAATAAAGCCAAAAAAATGGAACCAGTGTTGTAGGGGTCCTTGGTATTGGTTTTTGCATTGCATGGCAACTTTACGTAAATGATATACCAACAGGATCGAAAGAAATTACGGATATTGAACTTATTTACATCACTGGAACATTGGTCGGACGTGGACAAAAAAGGTTACAACCGGTATGAATTATTTTAAATTTTAAAATCAACCTACAAATTTAAGTGGATGAAATTTTGGTTGGAAAAAAATAAATTTTGAATGAATTTTTTGAACGTCAAATTAAGAATTTGAAGAAATTTATTTAGAGCGTTTTGATTCTATTTCTTATATATTCTTAGAAAGTGCCTTGGAAAAAAATTTTAAAATCAGTAACAATTTGGTCAATAGCATTGAATTCGTTTGCACAGTCATTTGCCTTGGTCGGAATGATTACATATTTGCCACTTTATTATAGAAGCATTCTTAATATGGATCTTACTTCGGTTATATATTTTAACTTATATTTTAACTTATATTATACTTTTATTGTGCTTCGGCTATTTATTTTATAAAATGAAATACTTTTTTAATTAAAGTTTCAAAAAATTTCTTATGCCAGTTGAGTTCGATTATTGTTTCAGAGTAAACCTGTCATTACAAATATTTAAAATCAAATATCGTTAAAGTGAAATTGAAATTTTTATTACTGATAGATGATAGATGACTGATAGATGTATCTCAAGTAAAATTTCAAGAGAAGAATTTTCCTTATCGTAAAAGTGGATTAATTTAATTTCTCTCAATTTTTAAATCGTATAAATTTTTAGAACGGTGTATTGTCGGCTATGCCTTTTGTTATTCAGTTCATCACGAAAGTAATCTTTGCGAGTTTAGCCGATGAAGCAAAGAAACATGGGTTCACCGTTAATTTTGTCACGAAATTTTGCAATTTATTCGGTTATTTTTGGAAATTCATTGGCGATTTACTCGTTACGAAAATTGTTGAATTTCTCTCAATTTTGTTCTCTTAATTTTTAGTTTTTATATTTTCTAAATTTAATTTTTAATTTTTGCAATAGCTAAATTACTGAAAACAAAGAATTAGTACTTCCATTATATTTATGCATTACAGCATAGTTATAAGGATCGAAAATGAAGCTATCGAAGCAGTGAAAATTATCAACAAGTGCAAATTATCGTTGATTGATTTCAGCATCATTAGGTACAGCTGCTTGCTATCTTTTGCTCATGTTATTTGACTGTTCTCAACAGTGGAAAGCAGTTATTTTTGTTTCCTTATCGATGGGTTTAATTTCGGGTTTCATTCCAGGATATAACACGAGGTAATTTTTTTATAAAATTCTATATATTTTAATGATTAAATGATAATTTAAGCAGTATTTGAGGAATTTTTTTCAAGGTTTCTGATTCAATTATTCATTGTCTCGCCGTAATCATCGTCCCTTATTTCCTTTTTAAATCTCTGTTGCGCAAATTTGTAGTGTTCTAAAAAGTCACTTATATTTATATTATCTCGTTTTTGTAGTATTGTTTCGGTAGCACCTATATATACTTCATCAATCGCTTCCTTCTGTCGATTATGGGCGACTCTAGCTTCAATTGCATCACCATATTTGATCGGTTTGCTTGTCAAGGAAGTAATTTTCATTATTTATTCATTAATTTATTATTTATTCATATCAGTCATAAAGTCCGATCTTTCCTTTATCGATATATTTTTTTTCCGTTATCGTATTGATTATGTATGCGTTGTATGCCATAAAAATTCACAAACCGTGAAATATTAGAAAATGGTATTATTTTGTGTTCTTCACTTAGCATATATAATATGTAAATATACCAATTTTTCCTTTTAAAATTTAGAATTTTTATTTTTATCTATTTTCTATCTTTAGAAATTGGTTCCTATATTCTGTTTTACTGCATATGACCGTCTTTGACTATATGACCGTATTGCTATAGCCGTCTTTTTTTATTGCTGGAGATATGTTAATTTATTTTGCGTTATTTTTTATGTAATTATTTTTTTTATTTCTTTGCCGCTATACTTTTTTTTGATATTTTTACATTTTTTTTCCTTTATCCTTTTATTATCCTTTTGCTTCCTTTTTCTTATCTCTTTGGTACTTTTATTTATTCTTTTGTAATTTATTCTCTTGTGATTTATTTTTTTTCTTTAAATACTTTTTTATTTGTTTTATTCGTTTTTAAAATATTCGTTTTTTCCTTTTTGCTTGTCATAATTATGGACATATAAATAAATCACAAGAGTCACTGCTGTAAAATTTTTCATTTTTCTATTTGCAGAGCGTTCTAGATGAATGGCGAATCGTATTTTTCACCATTGCGGTTGTGCTGATTACGACAGGAATCTTTTTCCAGATCTATGGCTCAGGTTAATTTTATAGCTTCTTTTTCGATTTATTGTAGGGATAAATGGTTTGTTTTACGGTGTTTTTTATACATTCTTCTAACAACTCTCACCATTACTGGTTAGGCTTGCTCCACTGACTACAAGATTAAGATATCTCGAAGCTGCTCGGTCCGACGCCATCGCTAGTAGTAATAGAAGCCATTCCTTTTTCTTTGATGACGGTTGTGCGGAAAAGGTGCTCTGCTCATTGATCAATAAAATTAATACAAAACAAACTATTTTTATCACTTGGCTGTATTATTGTATTATTATCTTATAATTTATTATAATTTATTACTTATTATTTGAAATCTATAAATCGGTTTTAATAAGTTTTTTCTTAAGTTTTTCCCCTATTTCTTGAAATTTTTTTTTAAAATTATCTCGAAATTTTTTAAAATTTCAATTTTTATTTTTTATCTCTATTCTCTGCCTTTGACAGGAATAAATATGTCAAAAATATTTTGACATAATGACAGGAATATGTCATTATGTCAAAAATCCGAGTGGCTGCTGGGATCCACCTGTATCTCCATCCCCAAGTGACTCTGTGGTGAGAGGGTCAGGTCTTTTTGATGCGACATCCGCACCCTTCCGACGCGCGTGTTACTTCTGACCCGGTGGTATATGCGACAAATATGCGATCCGGGCCTAAGCCTAGTAATGATAAAAATCTGAAGCACAAACATGGAATTTCTCGAACGGAGATAAGTACTCAAAACCCGTCAGCGGAGGCGAGAATCTATCTAATACTTTATGAGATTGTGGTGCTGGTTGTGTCTGCTTGGAACGTCAGAACGTTTATGGATGATGCAAGCCAAGCGATCACTGTCCACACCCTTTCTAAATACCGTGTGAGTGGCTTGTTTATAGGAGGTCCATCTTCCTCATTTCAGCTCTCGAATAATTATTAAACCTAGTTCTGAGCAAATATATTGATTACTGTCTCGGATGACTCGGGGCGAAATGGTGTAGCGATTGTTATGTCTAAAAATCCACTCGATCTGCTCTGATTGAATGGAAGCCAGTAAATGACCGTATGGCCTACGCGCGTTTCAAGAGGAAGTTCTGCAATATTTCGGTCATCAGTATATATGCTCCAACTTTATGCGCAGATAACCGCGATCTGGGTAAGTTCTTTGCGGAGCTTCAACAGTTACAACACAGAGGTGACGTGATCATAATCGGGGGAGACTGGAATGCGGATCTAGATCATGATGCCGTTGTGATGAATTCTATAATTGGCAAATATGACATCGGGGTCCAGTGCGCTAATGGAGAATGCCTTCTTCGTTTTGCCGAATAGCATTAACTCTGTTACTAATACATGCTTTCGGCATCGGAGAAGACATCTAATCATGTGGAACTCTCCGGACAACCAATATTCCAATCAGATTGACTATATATTGGTTAGTCATCGCTGGAATTCTTATCGGAAACTGCTGAAACTGGTAACCGTCATGTTATGGTTTGATCCAAGATTCCTATAAAACTGACAAGTCGTAAAAAACAACATATCCCAAGATCTTTCAATTATCTCAAATTAAAAGATCCGGGAACAATAAGCGCATTTCAAACCTCAATTATTGAAACACTTCAATGAAATGAACGTCAATGATATCTCTGGAAAGGCGAATGAATACTGGTCCCAAAAAAAGACATGCCTACAAAAGTCACTCATCTCCACACTAGGGTATACTAATATGAAGTGCGTTACTTGGGCCTCGAAAGCAACTGTCCAACTGACTATCTGAAAAGTTTCCAACTCCCGAATGTCAGAAGATCCTGATTCTCAGATGTTTCGATGAATTACAACGACAGCAGCACAGCAGGACAGAAATCGCTATTGGATATGGCTTTGAGAATGGAGACGGCTGCTTGGATAGGTGATAACAGGAAACTGTTTCGCCTTCACAAAGCAACTATAATTCGGAAAGGAGTCAGTGAAATGATACGGGATATTAACCATGATGCCATCTGTTGTCCCGAATATAACTGATTCGCCCGCCGAGCCTTGTTTGCAACTGTGAACCGCCAACAGAAGAGGAAATAATCTCTGTAATCCATAGGCTTAAAACCAATAAAACTTCCGGAAAAGATTGTTTTCGGGTCGAATTCTTCAAATGTTGTCCATCATCTTCATAACACACCTTCAACGCTGCACTCTTTGATATGGCAAAAGGAAATAGTGGAGCAAAGTGATTCTTCCAAATCCTAAGAAAGGTGACAGGGTGTACTGCGATAATTACCGAGGAATCAGCCTGTTTACTGGCCATCTTTGAAAAAATTTCGCTTCTCTTCTATTAAGTAAACTCATAGCAATACGAGAATATGTCCTAACTAAGCTGGATTCAGACCGGTACGCGGTTGTGCTAACTAGATATTTAGAAGGGTGCTGGAACATTATTTCAGATGCCCAGCAACTCACCATCACTTGCTTTATCGATTTTGCAACTGCCTTCGATTCGCTTGATAGTGCTCTGGAAAATGATGGAATGTCCCAGAGAAGATCATTCGGTTCATGAAGGCACTTTATCAGCACATTCTGGCACACGTTTGTGTATATAGGGAACTGACAGACTCCTTCGAAATAAGAACTGATGTCCATCAGGGCTGCCTTTCCCCTACAATATTCAACTATGCGATATTGGGATCGCTTGTCGGGACTCAAGAGATGTGCAATTCAGTCGAAAGCATAGCATCATAGACCTTGAATACGCTGGTGATTTTGATAGTTCTTATATGCTGATAGTTTTTTTTGCTGATAACGAAATGCAAATAATGCTAAACAACGTTTGCAGCGAAAATCGAACTCAGAGTCAATGTAAATAAAACGAAAGTGTTTTCTTTTTATATATAAGATGATAAAACACCTATTTTTATCAATTCATTGCTGGTTGAGGAAGTGCTCGACTTTTAATACCTTTGACCTATTCTAATCCCAAATGACCATCGAGCGATGCTGGCGACAAGCCAGTGCAGCATCACCTATATTTCTATCGCCAAGGGACGCTCTGGCATATTACCTAATGCGACAAGCCAGTGCAGCAAGTTTAACCTGTAATGTTGAGGACTCTTTTAAAAAAAAGTCCTAAATCGCCAGCGAAGGATGAAATTGTGATCCGGATAACGACAGTTAGAAATGTGTTTTTGTGGTTGATGAAATCTCTATGGTTTTTATATATATTATGTTTATTATTTCATTATTATTATGGTTTATTTATATTGAAATGGCACACAAATTTATCTGTATTTTTTAGGCAATATTTTGAGTTGGGTTGATGATTCGGAACCAAGATTAATTATTGAGCATGTAAACGCACCACTAGCAGTCATTGAAGAATTGTTAGATGCCAATACCAATGATTGAAGCAAATAGAATTTAAAAAATTTTAGCTTAATTGTTTACTTATCTTTTTTATTTTATTTTATGGATGCATTGTAAATCAGACTTTTGGCTTTAATTGGTTATGTTTTTAGTCATGGTTATATTTCGATAATCGAAATTTAAAATTCAATGAATAAATTAATGAAAAAAATGATGAAATAAATGATTATTTGATTATTTTTTATTTACCATTGATAATTCTTTTTGATTGATTTTCAAGAAATCTGAAATAACCTTTAATAAATTGGGAAATCCGCCTATAATCCGCCTTATTTAGATTGCCTTTCTACTGTTTTTAACTGTGCTCAGACCAAGTTTGCTAAATTTTCTTCATAAAACTTATCATTATAATTTATTATCATATTGACTGCGTCATATTTTCGTCTTAGATTAGAACGGGCTTATGTCATTTGTATATATTTGTTATTACACTTTTCACTATAAAGCTATTTGCTTTCTGCGTCATATTTTCATATTTTGCCAAATATTTGAAAGATTGTTTGATTTTACAAATTTATACATTTAAAAATTTAGCAGTTAGTAACATATTTTGCTTTATTTTATTGTGTATAGTATTGTATTTGTTATCTTGCAGACTTTACATAAAATCATTTTATTTTTGCAAGAATAATGCCTTCTAATAACTCTCACCCTTACTGGTTAGGCCAGCTGCGCTGGCTATAAGGAAACGACGTTCCCAAGTTGCGGAATTTGATACCATGGCTAATAGAACCCACTCCTTTTTCCATCGTCTAAGTCTATGTATCGCTGGTACATTCAAAATCTTTCCTGATTGTTTATCAGTCTATGTTTTTTTGATTGGTCTTCTTCGCTTTTGATGCCAATTATCGCAAGTGTTTAGTAATAAAATATATGTCAACTTCTATGGTGGGAAAAAACTTCTATGAAGAACGTGCCCTAACCAGAGAAGGCGACGCTGTGTGATGTGCCGTTAATGCAAGCGATATTTGAGTGAAGGTGGATGCCATCACGTGAGATTTTATCCACTCCCCTAAAATGACCTTAGATATAAGTGGTTAAGGTCGGATAACTTTTAATATCCTTCATTCTCATCGGTTATGTATCGCAACCAGACAGCAAGATTGAACGAATTGCGGCTATAGGTCTTTTTGTCTTTATGGCGATTTGGCGACAATTCCATCAAGGTTTTTCATTAACCGTTCATCACATTCCTAGCTGTCGTTATCCAGATTACAATTTCATCCTTTGCCTGGCCATTTGCCTTAAATCCTGCGGTAAATAAAAATATCAGTATTTTATCAGCATCTTGTATATAAGACGAAAAGACTTTTGTTTTATTTACATTGGCTCCGATTCTCGCTGGAGTTGCTGATACATTATTTAACATTATTTGCATTTCGTCATAACTGTCAGCAAAAGAGGATTAAATCCTCTTATTCTACTGAGAATAATTTCAAAAGCTTGTGGAATTTCTTACGAAAAATGAAAAAATTTTTGGAATTTTATAAAGGGGATGAGCAAGATGTAATTGTTGCAACTATTAGATAAATTAAGCAGAGATACGTTTAATGCTATATTTAGAACTAAAAAAATTTTTTCAACCGTTGTTTCTTTTAATTGAATTCATGGCTCAAAATGTTCTTCAAAAATAGTAATGATAAGATTATTATCATTCAAAGTGAAGGAAAATTGCTCGGTATCTATCTATCTATAGTTGAATATCTTTTTGATGAAAAAATCCTAGTGGTTTTGGAGTGAACTGAATTAGAAGTGGTGCATGCAGTTAGAAGGAAAAAATTGATTCTAATTTCATGAATGCAAGGTATGTTTTTGAATTTATAATAATGATTTATAATTTAACAGGGAAGTTATTTTCCTGTAAGCACCAATTACCATGAACAATCAAAAATTGCAATAAAACTCTAATAAATTGCCTAAAAAAGCTTTCAATGATGGCTTATATTTTTCTTTTCCGAAGCGATTCTCAAAATTTTACCCCCATTCTTGTCCAAATGCCATTAAGCATCTGTCGTTCACAGTGGGTGTCAGCACTGTAGAAAAAACTAAACTTTTGATTTAAAATATTTGAAAAAGAAAATTAGGATGTACGAAGATATAACTTATAATGGGTTTATAAAACCAACATAGAATAGCCACAATGAAAAACAGAATTAAAAACAGAAACAATGAGAATTTTATTCCTATATCTATTTATATGTATAAGCAAATCCTGAAGAGCCAGCTAAATGCGAAGAAAATCTATAAATAAATATGTACGCCTTGCCAGTCATCAGATACGCAGCTAACTGGACATCAGTCGGAAGGAAAGACAAGTTGGTGAGCGTGAAAGCCACTGTTTTAAATGAAATCCAAATTCAGGAATCAATAAGATGGCAACAAACGATGAGCTGTTGAGAGAATGTCTGAAGCATCTACAGACATTGGAAAGAGACCAAGCATAGTGTACGGTGGTAAAGCAAAATCATCCTCTGTGGTCCCATCGACAGCTGAGGTAATTTGAGAAATCCTACCAGTGATTGGAAAAAGCAACACTGAGGCATTTTAGCAACAAAGAACAGGCACTAAGTGTCGGGAAAAGAATGTAATGTACTCTTGCGATTGTGAATTGAAATATTTATTAAAAAAATACGGTTTACTATAATAAATGAAAAATAGGTATTTAATAGGTTCGAAGTAAAAACGAATATATTCAAAGCGAATAGTTAATAAAAAAAAGGGTGGTGAAGCAAGGCAAGGCGATTCTTGTTATTGCCAATCCAACACTGACCGGTTTTCCTTTGCCAGTCTTGGTTCTTCCAAAACATTGGTAGAATAAAAATTATAAAAAAATTAATTTATTTTTATTCAAAAGAAAATTTTCTCATGATTGTCTTTTTTGTTATATAAATAAGATGGCTTTACAAGTAGCCAACAGATGAATATCACAGATCTCTATCCAGAAGAGCGCACTATAAAGATCTAAAATCCCTTTGCTCAGAACGTTCAATCTCCCAGGCCTCTGAGGGCTTGAAGTTGAGGATGATCGTTAGGATAATGAAAAAATTTTTTTTTTGTTTAATTCTGATATTTGTTTCTTGCTGACCACTTTTATATACATGGAAGATATATACATATCTGTTATATACAGGGAAGATCGAATATAGATTTAAAAGCTTGATTATTCGTAGTTTTGATCTTGAGCGGTTGTATTGCTATTCCGCTGCAATTTTTTTTCGGAATATTTTTTTTTTATAAAATTTCTATAAAACTGCGAGCTAAGTTTTTTTTCCTTTTTTTTCTAAATTTAAAAACAAAAAATTGAAACAAATATATATATATATATATATATGAAATTTATGATAATATTATAAAGTAATTATATCTGTTTTTGACAGGAATAAACCTGTCATGTCAAAAATCCGGGTGCTTGTACGACACACCCAGCACGGTGGTACATGCGATAAGTATACAATCCGGGCTAAAGCGATCCCAGGATTGATAAATAAAATAATTATATCTGTTTTTGACAGGAATAAACCTGTCATGTCAAAAATCCGGGTGCTTGTACGACATACCCAGCACGGTGGTACATGCGATAAGTATACAATCCGGGCTAAAGCGATCCCAGGATTGATAAATAAAATGTGCTCGCAAGCCAGGGTAATTGCTCAAAATCTATCAAGAGGAACAGCTCTCTGCAAGCGCGGCGAAACAAGTATCAGCGTGGAACGTCAGAAACGCTTATGGATGTTGCAAGTCAAGCGATCACTGCCCATATCATTTCTAAATATCGTGTTGATATCGCTTGCTTGTCGGAGGTCCATCTTTCTCATTTCGGGTCTCGAGTGATTATTAATACTCGGAGCAGAGGTACTGGCTATATCACTATGGTGCTTCGGATAACTCGAGGCGAAATAGCGTAACGATTGTCATGTCTGACAAGGCCTATTCCGCTTTGATTGAGTGTAAAGTGGTAGGCGGCCGTATGGCCTATGCCTGTTTTAAAGGTCAGTTCTGCAATATCTCGGTCATCAGTGTGCTCTATGCTCCACTCTATCGGCAGATGACCGTGATAAAAATAAATTTTATGTGGAATTTCAATTGCTAACAAAGTTTTTGCCGAAATATGATCATGATCGGAGGAGATTGGAATGCGCGCTTAGGTTAGAATGCAGCTACGATGTCTTCAACAATTGGCAAATATGACATCGAAAACCGGTGCTCCAATTAGGAACGCTTTTCTCGTTATGCCGAAGAGCATGAACTTTTTGTTACTAATACTTGCATCGTAGAAAACAACTAGTCATGTGGAACTCCTCGGATAACCAAATACTTCAACCAGATTATCTTAGTCAGTCGCCATTGGAAGAGTTTTGTAATAAATAGTCGTTCCTATCGCAGAGTTGAAACAGGCAATCTTCATGGATCTGACCATGTTATGGTTCGAACCAAGATCCGCATAAAATTAACAACTCGCAATAAGCAGCATCTTTCAAGATCCTTCAACTATCTCAAACTAAAAAATTCGGAGAAAGTGAGCGTGAGCGCATTGCAAACCGAATTATTGAAGCATCTCAATGATGCAAATATCAATGATTTTTCTGGAACGCCAAATAAATACTGGTCCAAACTGAAGTGTCTCGGAAAGTCAGCCACTTCCACGCTATGGCATACTAGTAGGACTACTTGGGTATTAAAAGCAACTATCTAACTGAAAAAGCTGCCAAAGAATGTCAGGTGATCCTGACTGCCGGATGCTTCGAAGATTCGCAATAAAAGCAGTACGGCGGATAGAAATCATTATTGGAGTGGCATGGCCTTGAGAATGGAGAGGGCGCCTCGATTAGGCGATAATAGGAACCTATTCCTCCTTCTTCATAAAGCAAATATAATTCGGAGAACGATCAATGAAATGATAAGGGACAACAATGGCGTGTCAGTCAAGAGTATTAAGGACCGCCTCATATGATGAAAAGAATTCTTTGAGGCCAAACTTAACCAGGAAGTGCCATCTTTTACCCCTAATATAGACGTTTGCCAAAATATGCTTGCAATTGCAATTTTCTGTCTCTATCAGAAGAAGAAATAATTTCCGTTATCCACAAGCTAAAGGTAATAAGATTCCAGGAGAAGATGGTTTCGGGCTGAATTCTTTAAATGCTGTCCATCATTCTTCATAACGCACCTTCAACAAATGGAAAAAAGAAATATTACCAGATGATTGGAGTAAAGCAATTCTGCTCCAAATTTTCAAGACAGGACATACTTCGACAATTATCGAGGAATCAGCCTAGATGTCTACGCAAAAATTTTTGTTTTTTACTCAACAGACTTATGGAAACACGAGACACCAAGATGCGCTTTTATCAAATCGGATTCAGACCGGGATAAGGTTGACCAGATATTTACGTTAAGAAGGATGTTGGAATATCGCTACAAATATTTGCAATCCACTATCACTTTCAATGACTTTGTGGTTGTCTTAGATTCAATTAATAGAACGGAGCTTTGGAGAGTGATGGAACGCGACGGTGTTTCAGAGAAGATAATTCGACTCATAAAGGCATTTTATAAGCGTACGTCGTTTGTTATATGGGAATGACAGACTCCTTCGAAATAAGAACTGGTGTTCATCAAGGCTGTGTGCTTTCTTTTACAATATTCAACTATGCGATAGATTGGATAATGGACACTGCTTGTCGGCAGTCAAAAGGTGTCCAAATCAGTCCAGAGCATCATCAGACTTTGAACACGTGGTGATGTAGTCCTTTTTGCTAACAGTTACGACGAAATGCAAATAGTGCTAAACAGCGTGTCAAAGACTGCTGCGAGAATCGAACTCGGGATCAATGTGAAACGAAAGTGTTTTCATCTCATATAGAAGATGCTGATAAAATATGCACTTTTATTAATTCATTGCCGGTTGAGGAAGCATAATTTTAAATACCTTGGGTGCACTGTAATACCAAATGGCCAGGCAAAAGACGATATTATAATACGGGTCACAGCAGCTAGAAATGCGTTCTTCAGCTTGCGAAACCTTTATGGAGCAATCGCGAAACAAAAATAAAAAATAAAAATACCCAGAGACATACCCAGAGAGAGTGCTCTGAGACATACCCAGAGAGAGTGGAGAATATTAAGAAATTATCTGCCTTTCGATACTCTTGTCTAAGGTACATATTACGGGTCGAGCGGATAAAATATCACATGATCTCATCCATCTTCGTTCAAATACCACTTGCATTAATAATGCTATCACAAAACGTTCGTTGATCCGGTACATTCTCCGTCGTCCACCACAGGAGTTGACGCATATTTCATTACTTGCTAAACCATGTGATGGATGGCGTCAAAAGCGAAGTGGGCCAATCAAGACCTGATCTGATACGGTCAGAAAAGATTTTAAACGTATAGGTGGATAGAACGCCCAGCAATATATGGACTTAGGCGATGGAAAAAGGAATGGCACTTCAAATAGCACTTTGTTCGATTTCAAGAAGAAAGGAAATTTTGAACACACTTCGACTTGCAGTAAGCATTCATCGCTCGTATTCCAGACTTCTTTGCAAGTGAGAATTCCAAAATTCTGTGAAAGTCGAATTCTCAACAAAAAGCTCGTTTTTATTTTAGCTTTATTATTAGTCAAAAAGAATTAGACATAAAATTATCCTTTCAGAATATGCTTTTTTATCACGATTATGATTAGATTCTAATGATATTGACACTATAATTTAGTGCTGAGAATAAATTACTTGGATCAGTATTCACTTCTGAAATGGAAAATCTCGTTGCAGGCGAAGTTGAAGAGTCTTTTCTTCAACTTCCTTCATTAAAAGTTAAAATTTTTATTTTCAACTGCTTTTTTTTTCTTATTTTGTGTTTTATGTTATAATATTTGTTCCATTCTATTTAATACTTAATTTTAATGTTTAACTTTTAATTTTTTCCAGGAATTGTGGCAGCTGAATTTTTTGCTTCGAAGCGATTTTATACGCGTTTATTTAGACTGTTTTTTTGAGGCATCATTATGGAGAACATTGGTTCTGAATTTTAAAGCATTATTTTTGTGCTTTGAAACTTATAAACTTTCAAAAAGGTTTTTCCAGTTTGCTTTCAATATTTTAGCATTTAATTTTGATTAGTTCAAGATTTAACTTAATATTTTCTATGATTCAGATTTTATTTTGCTTCTCAATATATATCACTCAATTCGCTAAAAACGAAAAAAGCTAAAAAGTCTTTTTTGCCTTTGTCTCGAAAAGATTTGGTCAAAATATATTTGGAACTCGCATATGAAAGGTTAAGGTTATTTGAGTTTAAATATTTGAATGAAATAGTTTAGGATTAGGTACTGCAATAAAATTTGTAAATGTACTGGTATAAAATATAGCGTAAAGTATTAAATTAATATAAATTGAATAGCTAATTAATAGCAAATTGACTTGGGATCCCTTTTAATATGAATAAAAGTATGTTAGTTCACGATCAAATTTCCAGCTTAGAAAACGAATCGAAAACAAGCGATATTTTAGTCGTATTGAATGAAGTTATCAGAATTTTATATTCACCTGACACAGATTCTTATGATAAAATTGGTGATGGAATACTGCATGATAATAGCGTTTCTGATAATTTCGAGAATTTTGAGCCAAAAATATCATTTCTCGATAAAGGCGAGCGTCAACTTGTTGATGAGGTTTTAGTTTTTTGCAAAGTTTTTATTTTTGGCCAAAATTATTCCATTATATTGCAAAGTAATGTAAAGTTTTGAATCAATTTTTTTTCAAGCAAATTTTTTTCAGATTTTCGAAGGTTTTACTGAATGTGACGAGCAGCTCATGGACAAATGTATCATTAAGAGAACAGAGATAAGTTTTTTTTAAATCTAACTATTGTCAAACTTTGGATGATAAATGAATTTTTTTGCTCATATTAAATTTTTTACCATGGCTTGATAGATAATTCCAATCTTCAATTTTGTAAGTTTTAAAAAAAAATTGAGAGAACAATATTTATCCTTGCTTTAATGAACTGTTCATAGTACTTTAATGATATATTTTAAAAGGCGATAAAAGAAAATTTTTGTTTTTTTAATGTTCACTGGTGGGTTGTTGCTAAATTCGGAGCGCCGATGATTCGATTCCCAGCAGGAGTAAACCTGTCCAAAAATCCGGATGAAGCCGACTCATCTGTACTTCTATCGCCAGGGGATTCCCTGGCATATTGCTGAATGTGACAAGCCAGTGGAGCGAGTTTAACCAGTAATGGTGAGGACTCTTTAAAAAAATGATGTATTTTAAAAGGTGATGAAGAAAATTTTTGTTTTTTTTAAGATCATTGTTCTATGGGTACAGTGATCTATCCCTGATCTTATTTATTGTTTTTAGGATTGTCGTGATATTTATGTGTCACGAGCCTTGATGTCTGAATTGAAAGTCACATTAATGGCTAAAGAATTGGAAAGGCAGCAAAGGGAGGCTATAGCAATAGTTCATCAGCAAGGTTTCGGGCAGAATAAATTTTCTGGCGATTTCGACGTTAAACTGCTTGGTGATAATGATGATATGAAACCATTGACACACGTCCAATCAGTTTTTAAATCGGATAGCGCTGAAAAACTTCCGGAAAATATGGGAGATATGGATCTTAATTCCAATAAATATGTTATGAAATTTTCAGGAAATTCTCAAAATTTGTCTTTTAAAGACGAATTAAATAGTGTTGTTTTGAATCGTAGAATATTACCATCTCAGTATTTTTGTGATTCCGATTCGGATTTTCATAAATCAAGTGGAAATTAAGATATGTATTTATTCATTGATCTGGTGAAGAAAATTGGTTTTAATAATTATTTAATTTTGTATTTTATTTATAATTTTGTATTTTATTTATGTTTATGTTTTTTATCGAAAAAAGAACCATTTATCCTTTATCGGAAGGATTTCAGAATAAGCAGTAGAACATTTGCAAAAGGATAGAAAAATGGAATCACCTTATCTTGATAGAAAAAAACTAATTTCTTCTTGAAAATCACGATAAACATGAAAATTTTTATTTTGGTAAAAGAAATCAAATTGTACCTATACGAGGTGCCAGTATATGATTCCCTAATTCACCATATTCATCGTCATCATATTGACTGAACAATCAGGATGGCAGGATTTATGGCAAAATGGTGAAGAAGAAATGTTCAGAGTGATAGATTTTCCCATTTGTATGATTTATTCATTAATGAAATAAATTTAGCTGGAACAAATTTATGATTTATATAATATGTACGCCAACATTGACTGCATATACGCGATCCCATTTGATCGTTGATGGGACGGCTCTGGTGTGTCTTCGATGAATTCGCTTCGATACCGTTGATGGATTCCTCTCAATGTCCCAACATTCATTTTTCGTACAGAAAGTGATCTAAATTGTGATAAACCTCTGATGAATTAATAAAATGTGAAAGTTCCACTTTTGTGTTACAGTAAGAAATAAAGATTCGAAATCAGTATTAAAAAATAACCGATCTTATCACAATGTTCACCATTTTAATATTCGAGATAATTAATTATTATAATTATAAATTTTAAAGAAAATTTTCGAGTCACGAAAAATTGAATAAATAAAAAAAACCTAAAATTTTCACACGAATAAATGAAAAATTTCAAAGAAACTACCTCAGAAAATTTCGTTGTATGAAGAAATTTCCGCATCAAACTATGAGCTATAGAAACAGAATTAGCATAAAGTGCACATATACGATCGTTTTTAGTAGCAATATATCCTTCAATAGTTTTACCATCAACTGCTTCATCATTCTCATTTTCGGCAACGAATATCTGTCAAAGAGGCAAATAAGAATTTTATCATTTATTGTTGCTTGCACCAGCACCAGTAAATGGCTTTATGTTCTGCTTTTTTCCTTGCAAATGAGTAAATGAAATGAAACAAAAACAGGAAAAATTGGAGACATCTAATATTGTATAAACATATTTTTATATTTATATTTTTTTATAGTTAGAGGAATAATTTTTATAACTATCGGATAAAAGGAAAGGCAATAAAAATTTCTACAAAAAACGCACGAAGTCCTTTCTTGTTATAATCATGCAGGATTTTTACATTCATCCATGAATTTTCTTTACAAACAAGGCTTACAGATAACAATTATGACTGAAAATAAGTTGTACCTTCGTATTTTTGATAAGATAATCCAAAAAGGCAGCTCGATTTAGACCCAAAACATTACGATCAAATTCATTAACTTTTTCTATACTAGTATTTTCGACTTCAACTATTTTTATGTCTGAAATGAATGCATGAATTAAATTCATTCAAAAAATTATGGTTTGATTGAAGCACAGTAGGTTGATTAATGCAATAAGCCTTATAAAGAAGACGTTCCATACTAATTGTGGATAATGATGTAGCAAAGGTGATTGAATTGTGGATAAATGAAAGAATAAATGAAGATTGGCCAGAACTTGCAAAACTTCTATGGCCGAAACCAATTTATAATATTTTATAAATATCTCTTTTAATATTGAAAAAAACTTTTATTGAGCGGTCGTTTCAAAAAATATTCTTGATTTATTTTTGTGAATTTACTTTTAATTTTTGATCACAATTTAGCTAAGTCCTCCTCCTCTTAAATTTTTTTTTAATTTCTTTTTTTTTACCAAACAACGATTAAAATTAAAATAAAATAAATTAAAATTAAACCAATTAAATTAAATCAAATCAGTTAAATTGTATAAATAATATATATATATTTCATATACATGCATATAGTCATATATATATATATTTTTTTTTAAATTTCGTTGTCTATTTTATTATTTTCTTCAAATTTAATTTTTTTTGTCTTTGGCAGGAGTAAACCTGCTATTATGTCAAAAATCTGGGTGGCTGCTGGGGACCTAGATGTAACTCTATCCGCAAGTGAGTGTATGGTGAAAGGGTCAGATATACTTGATACGGCGTCCGTGTCTCCGGATGCGGATGATACTTCGAGCAAGGTGGTAGATGCGATAAGTATAAAATCCGGACTTAAAGCGATCAGAAGGCTGGTAAATAAAATGTGTTCTGAAGCCAGGGTAATTGCTCGAAAGCTATCAAGGGGAACAGCCCTCTGCACGCGCGGCGAGGTATTAGCCGTATCAGCGTGGAACGTCAGAAAGGTTATGGACGTTGCAAGCCAAGCGATCATTGTCCACACCCTGTCTAAATATCGTGAGGATATCGCTTGCTTGTCGGAGGTCCATCTTCCTCACTTTGGGTCTCGAGAAATTATTAATCCTGGTTCAGAGCAGAGATACTGGTTATATCACTGTGGTGCTTCGAATAACTCGGGACGAAATGCGTAACGATTGTTATGTTTGACAAGGCCCATTCCGCCTTGATTGAGTGGAAACCGATA